TTTTTGGGAATATGGAATCCTATATTAAACTCCTCAGTAAATATTTTACGGTACACCCTCTCACTTACAAAATCGGTATAATGTTCTTCTGATTGTCTTTTGTATGTTCGGTGGAGGTTAGCAATATTTTTATGTTCGTGTGATAAATACACTCTTGTAGAATCCTGACGACAATAATGAGATGGTATTGCTGGTAAACTTAGGGTACAAATTCTAGACCCTACTTAGTAGGGACAAATCAAGGGATACATTTCCCCTGGTAAGTCTATCTAAGGATGTGACAGTTTTCCAGGCGGAAATAACTGCAATCCCTGCGTGCAAAGAAATACAAAGGCAGGAAATAACGTTCTGTTCAGTTGTACAATGATTGTAGGGTCGCTGATTTGGTTTTATTCGGTGGTAAGTGTTTTCTACATAAATCCTCTTTTGCGCAACCCCAAGTAGACTTCTTAACAGTGTGGTAGATGGATTTTGATGATATATTTAGCGTATCCGCTAAGAATTGAAAACAAACAACTCTTCTTCTTTCTCTTTTATTTATATGATATTTATAAGTTACTTCTCGTTTACCTGTATCGGCCCGTTTACGCTTTACTTCTTCTTTTTGACTTACACTAACTAAGCAATCTCTTGATAATTAGCAGAGTCCTCAAAAATTATACTTTTTGTCTTTTTTAGTACCTATATTTTCACAGTTGTTTGTGCATCTTTTTCCAATGCAAGGCTTTGGTTGAACAGATTTGGACTCAATAATCTTGCCATCTTTTCATTCATATTGTTGTCTGGCAAATCTTTTCTGTGAAAGTTCTTTTCCCAAATTTTTCTTCTTCATTCATAAACCCTTTTCTGCTACTGTGTCTTCATTAATGTCAGTAAAACTATTAATATATAAACCTTTTAACATTTCTTTTTTAAAGAAATATATTGTATCTAAGCAACAAAAACATTAAAAAATGGCAGGTAAATTATTACCAAACAACATATTCCACCCATTTTAGGTAGCAAGAAATTTATCTTGTTTAAGAAAGTTACATCTAGATATAATTAACTAAACAAAAAATGGTATTTAATTAATGTGTGAAAAAAAAGTAATAAATGATAAAAATATTTTTGGATAGGGTAAAATTTCTTTAAGCATTTTAAAAACTCTAGATGTTTTTTGTACAAAATTACTATGCTTTGAAATATTTAATATACAATCTAACAAAAACTTACTAACTGTAAGGGATTAAAATGGAATAGGTATCAAATGAAAGTTGTTCTTAAATTTTCAAAATTCTAGTCGCTTGGTTGCCGAAAACTGTTAAAAATGTTAATTATTTTAAATTACCAAGCAACAAAAAAGTCATCGTAGCCACATGAGAATACAACCAATTGACGCGCCGATTTTTTTTTTATTTAAGTGATATATAACTCAATATCGCTCAAACTGGCGCTTGGTAATTTTTGCCTTTCACCTGTTGATAATATGTTCTCTAAATTAAAATCAGATAATCTCACTTAATGTACTGAGCAATTCAAAATATTGGTGCAAAATATTGAAACTAATATTTTGAAAAACTATTCCACATACAGTATCAATTCAAATTAAATTCTTGTTATAACTGTAACTGCAACAGTACATACAAATTTTCAATACATTTATGTTCTTAAATTTTTCCTGGTTTTCCATTTGTTACTAATGATAATGTAAAGCTATGTGCTACAAGAGTAAATGACAAATCTATCAATACATGATAAATTTAAGCTAATAAAAATAAGAAAACAATAAAAAGATAACCATTTTGCAAGTCTCCTATTTTCTCTGTAAAGCACATTGTATATACAAAACATACTGGAATGAAATAAAAAAAACTGTCCAAATATAAATCATTTAGACAACAAATTTCAGAACTAGTATATGACAGCTAGTCATATAATACAGATGAAGAGAAATGTAATGCTTTTGCAAAGCACCTTGAAGTTACCTATGAATTTACCAAGGACAATAATTTTGATAGAGATATCTTAGAAAAGGTGGATAATTGGTTTGGAACTTTTTATAAGAACAATTGTAATCCGAATGTCCTTTGGTTCATCACAGAAGATGAACATGATGAAGCTTTATATAAAAGAAAAAGCACAGTTCCAGGCAAAGATCCATCAACTGTAAAATCCTTAGGCAACTAGATCCTGTTATTCATAAGTAAATAAGGAGCATAAATGACTATTATATGATGAATCATTTCTTCCCTGATGAATGAAAGATGGGTATTGTAATGATTGCTAAATCTACTAATAACCACAAATTGCCTCAAAATTACTATCAAATCAGTCTTCACCCAGTAATTATCCAATTATATACAAGACTATATCAACAATTAAAACAACATATTCCAGCACACCAGTTTGGATATAAGGGAAAATAATCAACAATCCATCATTTTCAATAGTAACATCCAATGTACAGGCAGCAAGATCATAAGGACTGAAGACTGCCAGAGTTTTCTTGGATATCAAGTAGGCTTTTGACTCCACTTTACTTCCAGGATTGTACAAACTTCACAGGATGAACTACTCCCCTTCGCTACTATTGATTGTTAGTGATTTTCTTTAAAAGATACAAGTGTATAATCAAAATTAATGGAACATATTCCCAGTAATTTTCAAAGCAACAAGGAGTTCCACAGGGTTTACTGCTACCTCCTCTATTATATAACCTCTTCTGCAATGACAATGTGAAAATGAACTAACCAATAGTAATTTGTTACAATTTGTGGATAACATTGCAGTGACATATTTTGGTAAAAATTTAATCCAAAAATTAAGTCCAAGACTGGTGAATGACTAAATATCTTAGACCAATAAATGAGGATTAATAATAAATCCCTCTAAAATACAACTAATAATATTTAACCCTAGAATCCCAATATTATTAAACTCTCCCAATATGCCTAGTATTTGGGAATTTAAATAAACAACAAATTAAAGTTCAACTACCACGCATATAAAGAACAATTATAACTAGAGTAAAAAACTTTAGAAGCACTTACAAGAATCAAGGAATTACGATTAAAACTGATGCCAATATTTATAACAAATTGCAGAAACATGGTGGAATATAGTAAAACATACTGTGCTTCAGGATATTCTACATTCTGGAATTGAATACTGCCACCTGCTGTTTACTTTTATACATGTATGCATGTAATTATCAATAATTTGTTTCTTGGTGTTTAATACCCTTCTTAATAAATAAAAAAAAAAATAATAAAATAATGTCTATTACCAAACTTACCATTAATGATAAATTCACAAGTATTATGTCATTCCTCAAAAAATAGTGGTTGACTACATTGAAAACCTATATTATTTAAGACAAATTCGTAGTTTCCACTACTTATGATTTTCTGAAGCTGTACAGAATTTCTGTAGAAAAGTAACAATTTTTGTTGTTTTACCACTAGAACTTTTAGAATTTATTGTAAGAGTTTAAAATAATTAGTTATTACTAGTTACTAGTGAACTGAATTAGGTTACCTTCAGCTAGCAAAGAAAAAACATTTGATTATTTATACAAATATTTAACTCATTGAATAATTATATACAATTTACTTTGAGATACAAATGTGCTGCTAATAAAAATCTTTATACTTTCCTGGTGTTAAAACCTACAACTTCATCAAGAGATTTAAACTATACATCTGATCACATAAACAGGCAACTTGCTGGACAACTTTAAAGTATACAGGAATGTCATCAATAAATGAATATATTTGCAATGCTTAGTGAATGGCTACATTAAACAAACCAGTGAATGGCTAAAACAACTAGTTACTTGACACAAAAGTGACTGCTATAAAGAAACTCGTTGAGGAATACTTAACAGTGTGTAAATACTTCTTGATTATAAAATGAACATTAAGAAAAAGTTACTGTTTACATACATACTTAAAGAAATCCATAAATGTATATACATATTAAGTCTTTAGGCAGACAAAGTTATTTTGCAATTACCAGGTCCTTATAAATTAAAAATTCTCGTAAATACTAGTGCCAGGTGACACACTCCAGCTTGTAAGTTTTTACCTATTTGTTTATACATATTCTGCAGAACAGTACACAAAATTTTGAGAGACAAAATCTATCTTGAATTTGCTTTAGTGCATTTTCACATGTGGCCTTTCAGAACATAAGTTGTGCAAGATTATCAAGCACTCTGGACTGTGAGTTGCCAGATTATTACTATTTCACTCACATGTACTGTAATGTTTTAAACTTTCAAAACAACAAAATTGTTACTTTCCTGAAAGAATTCATATTCATGATGTCAGTGTGAGTATAAGATTTCCTATGTCATATATAATGTGTAGTAATGTGTCAAGTTAGTAGGTATAAATATCAACAATTCAATACTGTTAATTTATTTTTTGTTTTGAGCCTGTATTAATTTATTTTAATAAACTTGTAGTGGGTGAAATATGAGTTTTCGTTGGATATATGATAAAATAGAATATTCTGATTATTTAAATGCTACCCCACTAAGACATCTGAATAGGGATGTTTACAGTTCTTTCTTGAATTGGTTCCATAACTTTTGCCTTTAAGTTTTACACACTTAAATACTATGGCTAAGGTCTTATTCTTAAAAAAGACTTACTTAGTTTAATTGGGGTAATTACTATAAATATTTTAAAAACTGGATTTGTAAAGAAGAGCTGTTTGGAATATCTAACTTAACCTGAATTATTGGTCGTTTATACCAATATAGTATTTCCACCAATTTAAAACATACAAAACTTTCCTTTATGATCTATGTATGTAATCAATATCTTTTAAATTAATTCGAAAATTTTGAAGGCCAACATATTGCAGCCATAGTGTAACAAAAAAACCAATTAGGTACAATAAGCCTACCTACCTATAAAATGAAGTTAAACTTTTGATGATAGCCAGTGTTCTATAGCTTAATTTGAATAGCATTATAATCTATTATGGTGTAGTAACAAAAGATATCTTACCTTGCAAATATAGTTTCTAGTAATTGTAGAACTTCCACAAAATATACCAATAGTAACACTAACGTCTTCTTGAAAAATGCTTTATTAGAATCGCATACTAATTACTTGTTCATGCTCAGAAAAATAATGATTTTATAAACCACAACTTCTATCTCTCGCCTTGGCTAACAGGAAGAAAGTATGTTCCGATCGTCAAAAGTATTTCCGCCATTGCTGTTCAAATGTCAAATATCTGAAGATGACAGATTGTGCCTTGTCAGTTGTAATAAAAAAGTTATTAGAATAATGTAATTTTATTCTAAGGAACCTTAATTAAAATATAAAATCAGTTTTATATTCTTAGGAATTAACGATAACAATATAACCGAATACTTACTTGATGCAATATTTTTAATTTCTACATGTTTGATGATTTTAATTTTATATTTACAACTTCAGTAAAAATATTACTTTATTGATGATATGTATTAAAACTAATGTCTAATGTAAATTTTTTTATTTATATTACGTAAAAACTATTTCATTATTACCGAACAATTTTATGATAGGCAACACACATAGTCTCATTTTTATTATGTCGGAACCATTTGAAATATAAGTGTTTCAGAAAACACATTTAAACATTAAAATATGTATAAGTGATTTAAAAATGTTTTAATAATACAGGAATATGCTAATTAATTACACAATACATCTTGGGTTTGTTGTCATTTTTAAGTTTTGAACGGAACATACTTTAAAATGACATCTGACAGTGCAAAATGCCATTCAGCAATATTTTCTAAACTTTTAATTGGTTCAATTTATGTATTTTAATTTGTTTATTTATACCAAAATATGTTTCCAAGGACAAAGATTATGGAGGGATATATTGGCGGATAAATCGAAAATTTTAGTATAAAATATTACTTTCTGATATTCATGGCAAATACTCAATACTATGTAAATTTCTCTTTTATAATGCTTTTGATGGTGTGTAAAGCTGTTTGTTTTAGTAATAAGTAAGTTTAAAAAAATGTTAAAATATGTATATAAATTTCCATATTTCTAGATAATCAAACACATATCAAACATCAAACATACATGATAACCTGGTAGATACTATTTGATGGTACATGTTTCGTAATTCGTAATAATAAAATATTGGCATACAATTCATTGTATTCATTTTAACATATTAGGAGCCAGTGAGTATCTATTTGATAATTTGTTTTAATTCTATAGGGGTAATTAATTAGTATAAGTACATGAATAAACAGATAATAAAATTTTTTAACCAATTATTCTAGTCAGTTAACAAGAACAATATGCTGTGCATTTTACTACATTTTAAGTTCTTGGTAATTAAATGATAATACTAATAGAATGTTGTTTTCCTTAATAGGAAAAACAATGAAATATCTTCATTATTAATCCATTTAAATTTTGTATTATTTTTTGTATTTGTGGTTTAAAATCAATATCAGTCAATATTTAATAGATATTCATTTCTTTCTACAAGTGTCATATTTCATATTTGCAACATTCAATCACAGCCAATGAGTTAATTGTAATAAAACTAAACATTATGAATAATCTAATTTTGAAGTTTCAATATTACAATATTGATTCAAAAGTTTTTATTACCTATTTTTGAGATATGATGTAATGGCTCCCAAAATGCAAAGTTTTATATTGTACATTTGTTATTAACGGATTCACAACATTTTAAAACAGAATCAAGCATTTTCAATTTACTCTACTTACCTGTGTCTAAATTATTATTAAAAATTTTATACTGACCTGCTCACTTTAAATTATATATATATATATATATATATATATATATATATATATATATATATATATATATATATATATATATATGCATTTGTATAGGTTTTGCCTCCGTACATACAATAGACGTCCCTCGCTCCACCAAAACTAGAGGTAGTATATATGCACATATAATACATCATTAACCTTATTTTGATGTATATTATAAAGGCAAAGAAAGAGGGGTAAATATTTATTAACCTAGTTTTATACAGTTATTTTATTTGTGTAGTTCTTGTTTGCCTCCATACACTGAACATACTCTTTGGTCTCATTTGCATATTTTATATGATGATTTAAGTGCGGTTCCACCCCTGTAGATGTTGCCAAATGTATCATGCTATTATAGTTCTCGCGACATATTATGATTCATACTTAACTTTTTCATATTTCTAGTTTGAAATTTATTTGCACTCTTTCTTTTCGTTTTTTTTATGTATTGTACAGTCGTTAGGTTTCTCTTTATAATCTTCGCAACGTTTTGTTGTGTTTTACCTTCTCTGTTATTCTTTAATAGTGTTGGTATTGATAAAGATTATTAATGCGTAATAGCTTTCGTCCGGTGTTTTCCCGAGTTTTTTTTTCGGCGATTAACAAGCTGATCGAACCCTGTCTCATTTCTCAATATAGTGTGATCATACACATTACACAGTTTACCTATTTAAATACTTTTATAAATATGTCAGAACTGACAGAATTAAAAAGGCAAGTTTAAAAATATCTAATGTTAATTTAGATCATAATTTCAATTACTATTACCTTATTGTCTTCAGTAAATCAAACAATGATGTTATGGCCATGGTACCCCGAACAGGAGGGAGGACTTTATTTAAACATGCTAACGAGTTACAGACAGTGCCTCACAGTAAATATGGTCATTCGTTTGAAACATGTTTATTGCGACAAATATCTACATTTAAAATTAATAAACTCAATTTTGTAATACAACTTTTAACATAATTAATATGAAAATAAATTAAACAAAGTTTTCCAACCACAGAAACATAAGAGCGCTAAAACTTTGGTCGCTTGCTCTAATAAAATAAGGGAATGTTCTAGATTACTAATTGAAATGCGCCGACATACCGAGAAGAAAAAATTACCTTTTTTTTACATATTAAACCCTATCCTCTTTGATACCGTTGTAGCAAGTACAAGACTAATAAGCGGTTACAACGAGCTAACTAAAATCTATAATGCTCGAAGTTTGGCCATGTATTTGGGAACTACACTAAAGCAAATATGTGATTTGTGTAGTCATTTGTTAATGAAAGATCACCCCGATATTTTTTGTAACGATAAAGACGCAAAACTAAAAAATTGAAGAGATTCAAGTTGGTAGTGAATAGTCAGTGGAGTTTTGAAACATCGTCATTAGCTATTTGCTTAATGATATTTAATTATGTCTCAAAGTTGTATTTTGACATCGGAATTTCTGTTAATCGATGTATTATACTGTGATATGCTACCAGTTTATGTTGTGTTGGATGGGATGATGAATTGTGTATAGTCGTGTCAGTATGGGTAGGTTTATGAAATATGGAGAAGTCATGTTTGTTTTTTTAAGTCTGATAATTTTTAAATCTAAAAAATTTATGTATTGATTTTAGATAAACCCAACAATGTACAGAAGTTTAAAAAAAAAACGTACGCATAATATGAGCAACATTAACATCAAAATAAAGGAATAAGAATAAGGACAATGTTAATAAAATATAAAATTGTAAGGTACGTTTAGTACAATAAAAGTATGCTTCATAATAATGTATGTGCTATTACTATTACAACAATGTACGTGGAGAAAAAGTTAAAACTTGTCCTTTTAAACTTTCTAATTTAAATCATGGACATGAAAACTTACACCATTTTATAAATAGATAAAATAAATATGTACCTAGGATCTGATAAATTTAAGATTACCCCGTAACTATACGAATTTATCCAAATGCATACTTGCATGAAGTTTTCTATCACAGTATGGAAAAGTAAAACAATGAATATTAACGTTTCAGTTTCTTATGACTAGCTGTGCATAATAATTATTGTATACCAGGTCCCGACTACATTACGCCATTAAATGATTGCGATGTTGCCACAGCTAAGAGGTGAAGTGAACCGCTGAACATAGCGTATATATCGGAGGCGCCGACTACCTTTGGCTAACGACAGAGTATACACGTATAACAAGCTGCGCCTCTGACGCCAGATACGGTGAACTAAAATGTATATCGAGAGATGATTTTGACTCGATTTGCTCTTGCCTTTTTGCCTTAAAAACTTGTCAAAACGCCTTAACAGACGTAGTTAGTCAACTAAATGCACAAGAAACAGGGTGTACGTGTTTCGCCTCGATTTCGGATACAGACGAGTTAGCAACTTAATGCACAAGAAACATGGGCACGTGTTCGTGTTGTGGGATGAACTCATAAAATCGGAGGTAAACTCGAACTAAGGATGTAGCAATCGGAGGTGTATGGGTAGCAAATGCATATATATATATATATATATATATATATATATATATATATATATATTATATATATATATAGCATTTAAATTTTGTATAATACATTAAATATCAATGTATAGAGGCATATTACACTATCATCTCTCAAATTCTTATAAAATATGTTAATTTTTATGAGAATTTATGACCATATTTAAATTTAAATTTGATTATGTCTTACTGAGAATTTTAGTTCTAGAATAGTAAATCTTGCTTTGTCCCAATCCAAAAAGATGTCTTTCTGTGCAAACCTTGGTTTCCTATTTAAGGAAGAAAACAATTTAATACATAGATATAAACTAGCAAAACAGGCAGGATTTTATGCAGTAGAAACACCCTTTCCATATGGATATGAGAAAGATGAAGTAGTAGCAGCTAAAAATGCTGCAAATATCAACCAAGTTCTGATAAATATATATACTGGTAAATTATTAAGTGTTGCCTTTTTGTTTTGTTCTTGTCTACAGTTTTTTTTTATTTTATTTTAGGAGATGTTTCTAAAGGGGAATTGGGATTTGCTGCTATTCCTGGCAAAGAAGAAGAATTCAAAAAGAGTATGTTGCTCACAATAGAATATGCCAAAGCGTTGGGTGTCCAGAAGTAGGTATCCTTGTTAAACAATTAAGTATAAAATTTATTATGCCACATAATTATTGCAGCTTCTGTGTTACTAATTACTATGATGAAAGAGTTGCCAAAAGGTTTTGTTTTTCTATGGAAATCATCTGTTCTACACTGGTAATACTACAGCCAATTTTCAGATCACACAATTGCCCTAATAACCCATTGCGTAGCAGGAAAAAAAGCCTAAGTACCAACTTTAAAATTAAAAAAATTCTGGTGTCAGATCCTGGGCTCTCCTAGCCAAGAGGGTTGGATTTATGTAATCTAAACTATTTTCCAGTATTTCTAGAGTATCTGTTAATTAATTTTATTTTCTTATTTGGTTATCAATGAATGTACCTAAAGTAAAAAAATTGCCAAAAATCATATGTAAAGGTTTCCAAACCAATGTCCATCTTTGATAAAGCTAATTTTCATTTATATTATGCATACCATTTGCCTTAATACAGTTAATATATGTCACATGTTTTCATAGCTTGCTCTCTCATAGCTCTTAAGATCTTGTGGTCACCGGGTACAACAACAATAAAATTGATGGTCATCCTCTACATGCACCACTTTATTAACTCTCTGTTGCTGATCATTCATCTAGTCAATTGACCACATTTTGTGATACATACTGTCAAGATTCTTCGGGCCAAATCAATGTCACAGAAAAACATCTTCCTGAAAGATAAAAAAAAATTTGGGTTTCTATGGTCACACCGAATCTGTTCTTTCTTCTGTCTGCATAGTTTGACATGATTTTGTTGTAACATGATCAACATTTTTTAACATGATGGCATTGTTTAAGAGTTCTTGCTTCTTCAGTATCATTTGAGGCGGCATATGGTGCAAGATGATTTTTAGGGAAAACTGGTTGTTTTATGAAGAACTTCTCATTATTTCTAAGTTTATTAGAATGACATCAATGTCATTATGTTCTATTATTGTTATATACAGTTTATATGGCCAGATAAGACCTTCTATTTTAACCCCAAATATATTTTATATTTTACCCCAAAACTTAAAGTGTAAGGAGCTATTTTTGTACCCACTGGTTATGTTATGTAGGATTTTGAGGCACAATATTCTGCACCTTCTCCTATTAGGTCAGTAAAAAAGCTGAACAAATCTTATAGGTTTTTTGAAGGTTCTAAAAGGTATATCAGGATAGTTGATGATAAATCCTTCAAGATGTACAGCTGATTTTGCTTTGTTTTTTAACTAATCATAAAAAGGAAAAAAATCATTTTTTGCCTATAAAACAGTTCTTAAAAGTTCTTTAATATTTCCAGAATTCACATAATGGCAGGAAAAATTACTGGAGCTGTTACATCTGCTCATGACACTGCATACGAAAATAATCTTCAATGGGCAGTACAGTTATTGGAAAAAGAAGACATAATGGGATTAATAGAGCCTATAAACAACTATTCAGTCCCCAATTATTATTTAAATTCCTATGAAAGAGGTTAGTATAAAGTTCATATGTTGGAAAGAGTATCATTTTTATCATGCTTTGAAAGAACCATACAATAAAACTATTTTTAACTTTTTCTAAATTATTTAACTGTACATTTCAAGCATTTTTTGTGTCAGTAAATGCAAAATAAAGTGATAAGTTACACAGATATTGTTACTAATATTTTAAAAATGGTTTTTTACGTTTTCCTTTGGAGAATGTTAAAGTTAGAAAATTAGAGAATTGGACATACCTTTGCTGGAATTAAAATTAACTGAAGTGAGTTAATGGTAGACAAAAAAAAAAACAAGTTTTAACTGTTTTTTTTTAAGACAGGTGTAAAAACATTGTACTGTTTTCCTTGTGTAGTGTTTACAATGTCGTGTCAGATATGGAACCTAGCTGGTCAAGGGTAGGAATCAAAGATCTGTAAAATTTTCTTTGAAAACGTGAGGAAGGATGAAACTTGTTAAGCAGGATGAAATTCTTGGTCAAACAAATGTAGATCACAATTGCAGTATCTTTCAATTAGTACTTAAAGGTCACAATGAGACTGAAATCGAAGAATATCTAGTGAATTAGTTGAGTTACATTACCACAGTAGTTGAGAAGAACAATAGAGGTCGCATCTATGTTCACTCAAGCACTGCCTTTGTTAATGTCTGCTGCAGTTGCAGATGAAATGTCAAGAACGATTCCTGATACCTTCTAGCCTTTCATGCAAGTTCACTGGTTGTCGGCATACCTTCTAGAGATTGGGAAATAAACATGGAGAGCCAAGTAAGGTCGCAAAAAAAACGACCCCACGGCATATCCGATTTCTTGTTCTTTTGGTCATCGTATTTCTACCGCCAGAGACTTCTTGAATGATTTGAAAATGCTGAATGTAGTAGTGGTTAATGATGCGATAGTGTGAAAAAGATTAAAGAATATTATCTATTAGTGATTGAATTTTATGATGATAATGAACATATCTTCCAAGCGCCATTGGTAAAATAAGGTTCCCAAAAAACTTTTCTATGTAATCGACGTTTCTGTCACACTCTTGCAGACCAACTTGGACCCTGTGCGCCAACTTTTCTATCCCCATGTTATAGAGTGTTATAGTCTTTGAGGAATCGAGTAACCTCTTGATATCATCATAGGTACTGACATGTAAGCCACCCAAGTTTTCCTTTAATTTTGGAAATAAGTGATGATCACTTGCTGTTAGATATATAAGGTGTTGACCTAATCACACGGTGGAGACGGGAGGAACGGAGAAATGGTCCATCCGAATAGGTGGGTTAGGTATAGGAGCTAACAACCCTATCCTAGAAAACACACATGTTACGAATGTTCAAGGAACAAAACCGGACTGATCAAACGACGACGACTGCTCGAAAGAGATAAGCATAGCCTTCATGATGTATTCAATGACAATGGCATCAGACTAATAAATCTAGCAACTTCCCTTACCATGGTCACTGCCAGCACATGCTTCCAGCGAAAAAATATTATTATAAAAATATTATTTTATTATAAAAAAAAAACAGTGGCCTAAACATTAACGAAATAAAAACCAAATACTGATGATGATGACTTGCTGCTAGATCCGGACTGTAGGGAGGTGGTACAACAGTCCACAAAATCCCTCAGCAGTTGTTCAGTTTTTTAATGTCTCGCAATATTTGTCTGTGTTAACTGTTGTTCCATGAAGCAATAAGTCGATTAACAGTAAGTCCTTTCTGTCTCAAAAGACGCCTGCGATCACTTTCGCCGCACACTGCGTTTTTTTACACTTCTTCGGCTTCGGTGTAGTTGAGTGACGCCATTCACGTGGTTCCGCTTCAGTTTTCATCGTGAATTTTCGTTCGGTCTTCACTGAATTCTCTACACTACATACTATAATGTCAATAGGTGAAGTCTATTATGAATTTAAAAAACGTATCACATCACGAATTTCGAATCTGGCGGTAACAGTGATCGGGTACAGCGTGGAGAGAGTGGTAAGGTGTGAGAAAGGGGGACTTAATGCGTAAGGCAGTGTTGCTATATTTCTCCCAGCACCTTACATTCTTTTTCATCGGCATAAGGAACCTTTTTGCGAATGACCCTCGTAAATTTTACATAAAGTCTTATATTTTGTGATTTTTGACATCTTCTATATTGCTTAAATTAGTTGTTTCTCAATCCTCTTGACAGACTGTTGAAAATATATGGTATTTTAATTTTAGCTGTAGCAGTAATCAAAAAAATTAACAGTTCAAAATTAAAATTAATGTTGGACATCTTTCATCTCCAAATGATAAAAGGAAATATTACTAATTCCATTGTAGAAATGATGCAATACGTAGGACATGTTCAAATTGCACAAGCACCTAATAGACATGAACCGAACAGCCCAGGAGAATTAGATTATAGATATATATTGGATACATTAGCTCAAAAAGGATATAACGGTTGGATAGGCTTAGAATATCTACCACAGAATGAGACCGTGGAGGGATTATCATGGATTAAAAGCTTTGGTTTCACACTTAAAAACATGTAATAGAACAAGTTATAGCTTTTGATTTAGTTTTATTTTTCTATATTGAATAAAAACAGATTACATATTTGATGTTATTTGTCCAGTTGTACCTGTATCCTAACGATAACAAAAATAAGTAAGCTCTTGTACACACTTTTTGTTTTCAGTTAACCGCCTCAATGCACAGCGGTGTCTGACACATAAGTATATATGTGGAGTGCATGTATATCTCTTTATTGAGTACCAAAATTAAGAAAACCTTAGAGAAGAGAAATTGTCCAAGACTTGCTAAGAATAATTAAGTACACAATGACGCAATATGATCACTAGCTGTGTAGATATCCATCACCATCCAGGAGCAGTTCCCCTTAACGAGGCAGATGCTGATAAAAGTGAGATTCGCGATGAAACTTGCCCCTCCTCTAGTAACTGTTGATTTATCATCACTGTTAAACAAGACCACATCTAGTGTGGCCATGAGCTCCAGTATCACTTTTCCTCGCGCATTAGTTTTCCTATTGCCCGAATCCACTACTCAGGCATTGGAAGTCCCCGGATATAACCAATGGGAATGCTTCGTATCCTAAGTCAGTCGATCCGGGTAGTCAGTTAACTCACACATACAGTGGTGTGTGTGTGTGTCTGGATGAATGTATGTGTGTGCGTGGTCATGTTCTATTTATCCATAAAACCTGTCTTATTTATTCATAGGGCGTTCATCAGTATCGGGGTTGAGAATATCCTCATATATAAACTACTACTCCAACCATTAGCCAATCCGAGAAAAAAGCCCTGAAAGAACTTCAGCAAATCCAAATCTAGTCATTCTTCCCGCCGATAAAGGAAATGCCACGTGCATTTTAAACAGTTCTTATATCTCTCAAATCTTATTAATACTCGCAGACTACAAACCAATTCCTAATAATCCAACAACCTATCCAGAGAAAACCAAAAGATTATCAATAAAATCTCTCTTCATGTTGATATACAACAATCTCTAATTCCCCGAGAAAAGTTTTCTAGGACACCTCGAATATATGGCGTACCCAAAATTCACAAACGCGATATACCTCTGCGTCCTATTGTCAGTGCATACAACTGCCCTACACAACCATTGGCCAAAACTCTACAATCTCTCGCCGAAAATCCTCCATCCTTCGTCAAAAATTTTTATTTTATCGTACTTTGTAAACATCCCCATCTCACTGTCAGACATTCTAGGAAGTTTAGACATCGTTCACTCTTTACAAACATTCATATAGACGATATCCCAAACATTCTGGAAACTAAATACAGTATGCAGCAAGACCTATAATCTCATTAAACATTGTATGTTCAACACTTATTTTATCTTTCAAAATCAATTCTACAGACAAATTAAACCAATGGACTTAAACCAAAGAAAAATACATTTTTTAAATCGGTATTATTCTGCATGTCCATTAGTTCGATTTGAAAGTCTTCGGGAACTGTATCCACATACATTTTAAATGGCGAGGAAAATTTTTTCTTGGAAACCGCTGTCTTCTCAGCTTTGTCGAAGTAACGTTTACTTTTTCTAAATGTGGAAAGAATGTTCCTTTGCCTTAATTTTTGAATTTTAATTTTCAATGAGCATTAAACTGTGAAGTCAAAATAACTACTAAACGACCACAAAGCCTTGTTATCAATATAGGTACGAGGTACGATGATTCTCTTTGTCAATCATTTTCCATCCACTCCTGAATGTAGGTCTCTCCCAATTGCTTCCATCTTTCTCTATCTTGCGCCAATCTAATCCACTGTTTGCCTGCCACTGCTCTTATGTCATCTACCCATCTTTTTTGAAGTCTTCCCATGCTTCTTGTTGTCGTCCTTGGTCTCCTTTCTAGAATTCTCCGTGTCCACCTGTTGTCATTATATCGGGCTACGTGACCTGCCCAGCGCCATTTCATTTTTGTAATTTCTTCCACAATATCCCTAATCTTCGTTCTACGTCTTATCTCGGTGTTTCTAATCTTGTCTCTCAGTGATATTCCAAGCATGATTCGTTCCATTGCTCTTTGCGTTGTTTCTAATTTTTTAGCAGATTTTTTGGTAAGGGCTACTGTCTCCAAGCCGTAGGTACAAACTGGTAGTATGCATGTGTTATACACCTTTTTCTTTAAGTTTACAGGAATTGAGATATTTTTCAAGATATATGATAGTTTGTCGAAAGCGCTCCATGCCTGTTGTGTTCTTCTTTTAATTTCAGCATCTTGATTTGGTTTTCCTATTTTGATGACATGACCTAGATATAGAAAGTACATTTAATTGTTGTAACATATCATTTAGTTCTTGGATATTATCGGCTATTAAAACTATGTCATCTGTGAATCTCAACTGGTTTAAGTATGATCCGTTGACGTTGATACCCTTGTTGCTCCATTCTAGTTTCTTAAAAATGTCTTCTAGAGCAAGGGTAAGTAGTTTCCTTGTCTTACTCCCCGTTGTAGTCTTATGGGATTAGTTTTTGTGCTTTCGTCCAGCTTTATCTGCATGGTGGCATTTTCATGTACGATGATTATTAGTTTGTAATGACCATGATTATAATGACATGTTGCATTCTCGCCGAAAAACAATTAACTTGTCGTTAATATAATGTAAATAATATAAAATTATCTTTTGTAAATAATATTTAATTAAAATCATCTTCCCTACTTTTCATCTCTTGTGTCCGATGGGCACTTCTGGTCAGTTACGTTAGAAAACAATCATTATAATTCATTTCTGTGGGAAAGAAAATACAAATACAACAAGTGAATCACACTTGTGCTCGTCGTGGCATCGGTACGCTTCTATCGTCCATAAGAAATATGTAGTCCTATCTACTCTATAGAAACACTTATAAGTGGGTCAAATTTGACCCTACGCGTGGTTTATTTTGTAGTAGTAACAGGTAAGCTAAGGGAATTTTCGTGGATCGATAAATCATCTGGTAGGGTAAAATGTGTATAACTGGGCTAAGAAAATGAAACTACGTTTTTACTATTTAGGATTTTATTTCATGTATGTCCGATGAACACATTGTCAATAATAAAGGTCAGATCACGCCATTCACACAATAATAGATATCTGTTAAATTAACTTGGGTAATAATAACTAAATAAAACTTTGGCACATATTATGGCATCGTGATATTAATTTAAAACAATAGAAAATTATAATTTTAGCAAATAAACACAATATTTAATATGTATGTTTGTATGGATCGATGAAAGAATACCTATAATCTGCTGTTTTTGAATCCACATTCACATATCGGCGTTGTTCCGATAGGTATGTAGCTGTACAGACATTTTTGTTCAAAATATTTATCAGTTTTATATTTGGGTATATTTATATTATTTGTTAATTAACATTAACTCTAACCTTTCCTAAAGGAATCTACAGAATTAGACTTACAAAAGTAAGATCTACAGAATTGTTTATGCCAACATATAATGTATTTACTTAGTCGAATGGCGTTACCTGGGCGCTAGCTACTTTAGTGTCACATCAATATAAATAAATAGAATTTAATATTTTAAGGTACCTTTAAGGCTAGTCGAGATCACTAGTGCACTATATCCCTACACTTGCGCAGCTGCACGAAACATAGTTATAGATAGCCGTCCATTTTTAAAAGGAGTGGCAAAATCTTATATCTGATAATCGAAATAGTTCAATGTGTCATCTTTAAACATAGGTATATTATAGTCGTATGTATTATAAGTAAACTAATATCAGCAATTGTTTAGGTTTCACTGCATACAATACACAAAACGTTTTTATTTTCTTGTCCACTCTGATCAAGATCAGTATTATAATTGATGATTCTTTTACGTTTAACATTTTGATTTTAATTAAACATCAAATAATTTATAATTAAATTTTTTTAATGGGGTTATATCACATATTTTTTTATAATTAAATGTTAACGGAGGTGTTTGTTCTATATGCTTCACCGATTCTTGTCTATATTATATTTGTTATTTTTAATTTTATTTTATTGCTTCTTAAAATTATTGAAGTCTTGAGTCAACAACAAGAAAATAAGAGCGTTTTGACTGAGAAACTTAAAAGCTTGCAAAATTGTATGACATGACGTTATAAAAATGAAAATCCATAAGTTGCGCCTCAAAAATTGATTTTACAGAATAACTCAGATATATGTTTATTTACAGAGTCACTAACGAAGACAATTTATTTTAGAAATAAAAAAAATATATGGTAAATGGACCCCAACAAGTGAACATATGAACTTTTGCTCTCTGAACAAATATAGACAGAGGATAGGAAATTTAAAGCATATTTCTCAGTTATATCTTTTCCTGGTTTAAATAGAGTTATTGGCATTATTAAACAAACCAATTAAAACAGGCCTAGATAGATTCCACTGTTCAGTATAGAGTTTTACTGGATAATTTTTTTATCTTATATTACTTTAGTGAGTTAAATAAAATGTGATTGTGTGCAGGGTTTAAATTAGTGAGTTATATTTACAACCCATAGTATGATACTGATTAGTTACATGTCATTGTAAACTCTGATAAACATAAAGGTTGCTTAAGTTTTATTGTACTTCTTATTTTTCACTTTGTTCTACTTTTTATCATCATCCTTATAATCTTGCAATCCCTGGCCTTCTTATATTTTGTTTTATTTTGATCTATCTAAAAAACCTGTTCTTTGTACTTCCCTTTCTAATTTTTCTAATGCTTTTATTAGTGCCGTCTTTGTGTTTTGTATAATGGTCACATCATTTCCTTTATTTGGAGTTGATTGGTAATAATATTTTAACTATCCGGTTTTGTCTTCCTCATTATTGCTGCTAGGTTGAACAGTGTCAGGGAAATAGCATCTTCCTGCTTCACTCCTTTTTTTATTTTAATTCATTCGGAAATTATTCCACTGAATTTAACTTTCGCGGTGTTTTTTAAGCGTCACTGTCAATATCTCTCTTAGTTTTGTTGGAACCCCAAGCTCTCTTAATTCTTCCGTCATTCTTGACAGTAAAATTGTATCGAAGGCACTTTTGAAGTCTATAAAAACTTGCTTTTGGTATTATTTTTCTATTGTATCCACTTTCTAATATATTGTACATTCTACACAATTCAAAGACAGATATATTTAAATAGTCACTGCTAAAGCATAAAAAAAATTAGCAAAGCATCAAAGAAGTTAATTAAATTTTGCTAATAGATAAATCATTGTCTATGCTAAAAATCTTGTTTCTCAAATTAAAATCATATAATTTTGCATGCTTTTCATCTTATTTTTATTGGAACATCCTGTGAAATATTTAAACATCTTCATCTAAACTAGATACAGGCAGTTATGGGCTCAATCGAACGGCGTTTACTGGGCAACTCTAAAACAATCTAAAACGAGTGTTTCTCATAAAATTTGACACATAACCAATTTTAAATGGTATCTGCTACTGATCTAGGATCCAAGTAACTTTTATTATCATCGTTATGTTGTTTGCTAAGTAAATACCGTCCTTCTCGACGGATCTGAATACACTGCATGGTAACGTTTAGAAGTAGATGTTTATGAAAGTTTCAGAAATTTAAAGATGACATGTATCGATAAATAGTCAGTATATTTTTAATCAAACTTCACGATATAATATATCGTATATGTTTCAACTGGACGTAAATTATTTTAATTTTAATTATAAAATAATTTTGGATTTTTATTTAATAAATTTCTATGCGATAATTTGTAATTCCTTTTGGATAACATAATAATTATTAACACTAGATAGTTAGATTTTAACAAATACCTACAAGAAATAAAAATAAATATTTCTCTTTTTATACCATTTTGATTGTTGTATAAGTAGTACCTATTAATACTAATAACAATAATTAACATCACATAATTGTGTTATATTTTTTTAAAACATAGATTTCACTAAATATAGATATCGGATTATTTTTTAATCACATAGTTTTAATAATGGAAGAAAACATCTACAAACGATTCTCATATTTTTCATTATTACTGTAGTTTATTCAAATACTATATATTTTTTATTTTTGATCGATCATTACGTAATAGAAATAAAGAGAAATCATCGTTCGTAAACGATTTCTAACAAAACACACATAGAAACTCACAATAAAATCTAAATATACTATTTCGTGTTAGTATATAGATAAATATATTTTTTAAAACATTAAAAATCTTTGAATATATATAAATAATTATAATAACTCTTTCTATTAAAAACCCCTATAAAAATATAAGAAAAAAAAATAAAATGCTGCAAATTTAGTCGAAACGCTAAAGATGCACATAAAATGCAATAATACAATCGAGTGACCTAACGTTATCGTCCAGTTTTTTAACCAACATCTCAATGCTATTTAGGTCGAGAAGCGTTATGTTTAAGAACATGGAAGTAACGTTTTCCCTTTCTTCGATACAGGTATACTAACAACTGGTTTTGATAAATTTGGTAGTAAACTATGTAATAAACAACATATGTAAAAGAATACACATCATTTTTACTTATAAACAATGTAAGATGCTATTTGATTTTAATTACTAAAAGTGAAGACTGGAATTATATGAAAAATGGCACAATTTTATCGAAAAAGTATAGAAAACCCTTTAAAATAAGAGTGTGTAAAGTTATTTTTGTTAATATGTTGCTTAATTATTGCAAAAATAGCTTCAAAAGTCGATTTAATTAATACCTTTTCTAAAAATGCATAAAAAACTTTAATTTCGCGTGAGAATGTGAACAATATCACAAATATTTAAAAATTTAAAGCAGTTTCACTTAACAGTTATTGCAAAATTGAAATTATTTATCCCAGAAAGCTTTTATCTACAACGTTATTATACGTAAACTATTGGGTTTACATAAATTCAAAAAACACCAAATTGAAGACAAAGGATTTAACGATTATAAAGTTTATGTTAAATATTGTAAAATAGGTTTGTAAAATAGAGTTGGTAGGTGGTAGGGCACTCCTTTGTCCTGGGGCTGAGAAACCGCCCCCCAAGGCGGAAGAATCAGTAGTTTAGTCAACGGCATAAGAATATAGAAGGCAATGAGAAACTACTATATTAAAGATCCCTATACATATATCTAGTACAATCATAATGGCTGTACAACACAACACAAACTCGCTGATCATGGACATCGAAGACCAAGATCCGGCAAGAGAGGTGATTCCCATGACCACAGGGCTTCCCGGGTCGTTAATATGCAAAATCGCTGTGAAATGCCCAATAACACACCTATAAGAAAAATCCACACGAATTGTCTGAAGAGAATATCCACTTGGAACGTTAGGACTATGTCTCAATCAGGAAAAATCTAATGCGCAATCAAAGAAATGGAACGCATGAACATAGAAATAATGGGCATAAGCGAAATGAGGTGACCTGACTCAAGTTATTGTGACATAGAAGAATACAGAGTATACTATTCAGGATCAGAACCTTCTTGATGATGAATCTTTAAGAATACTATGTAAAATCTTCAATAATATCTATGACACAGGTAATGGCTAGTTTCAGAAGGCGTAGGTACGATGGTACTGTGTTTAGTCTACATGTATTATTCCAAAGATGCAAAGATATGACTTGCCATATCTACACCTGCTTTGTGGACTACCAAAAAGCATTTGACGCATTTCAACATCGAAAAATGATGGATGCTCAAGACCGGCGTATAATACAAAATTTATACTGGAACCAATCAGTCACAATAAGAACAAATCTTGGAAATGAACCGACGGAAGCGATCCAGATTCTTTGAGGCGTTAGACAAGGATGTATACTTTCACCTATATTATTCAACCTATATTCAAATATTCAGAGGAAATATTTAGTAAAGCCTTGGAAAATTGTAAACATGGAATCCTTTTAAATGAGAACGCCTAAACAACATTTATTATGGAATTTTCGACAACAGGTCATAAGTTTAAATACGCTATTAAGATACGCCTATAATTCTCCTCCTCGATCCTGCGATTTGACTCTCTGCGATTTCTTTCTGTGGCCACATTTAAAAAAAATCGATTTTTTAAACTCCTGTAGCAGATTTAGAAGATCTTGGACAAAGAATATATTGAAAAATTAGGTAAATAATACTTCGTGGGCCTTAAACAATGATATCAATAAAAAAGTGTCGTTAGAGATGAGTGGACATATAGAGTATCTTCTTTAATTTTAGTTATTATTATTACTTATATCTTTTTGATTTTTGATTAAAGTTATATGTTAAAGGTACTGGTTGATTTTTTTATGTTTTACAGTGTTAATCAAAATTAATTTATAAACCACTAATACAAATTTAGATTAATACAAGACATACGTAATTTTTTGCTCGGATAGCTTTGATGAAAGTAATTGTAGATTGCTCGTTATATTGTTTATAAGTAAAAAATTAGGTTTAAGCTTTCACATATTTTGTTTATTACATATTGTTATCACCAAATTGATCAAAAGCAGTTGTTAGATACCTGTAATAAAGAGGGTCACGAAAAGTCTTTTTCTTTACTAATTTCTCTGGTCTGTTAGTTGTTTTATATAACAAAAACCTTTATGTAACAAAAAAGCAAGTAATTGTTTTTGGCAAGATGTAACTTGCAACGTAAGTTGAAAATTTAAAGGTTGAACATATTGTATAAGCATACTTCCCACTTTAAAAAGAGGGTAAGTTAACATTAAACAACTTATTAATTAACTCTTCTTTAAAACAAAACATGATATTTTATAGTGGCTTTTGGTTACAAGTCGTTATCTATACAGTTTATACAACAATATTACAACTACACTTTTATAGTACCATGTCACATCCTTTAGACATCGCAAAACATAAAAAATTTCGTTTATTACATTAACAGTAACATATTGTAGGGATATAAAGTTAAGCCTCCCCTTAACGTGCAAAGATTGGGCAATTATGTCTTTAGAAATGCAGACATTTGACATTGCCATATGTTGTTTTTAAAATCAAACCCTTAACTATTAATCAGTATATCAGTGGGTTATTTTGAGCTGTTAGTTATAATTTATATTATATCGTTGTGTATTCGTATTTTCCCTAAAATTTATCAAACCTGCCCTATTCATGCTGTATGCGGGAGTTGTAGAAGTTAGGAACCTTTCAATTTTATAACATTACATAAAATTCTCATTATTTCTTCTAAAAATACGTATATTAAAATTTCTAAAATTATATATAATAAAAATGTTGCTATATTTTAAGGCCATGTCATTAAAAAATAGTAGATATTTATATAATAGTACATTAGTTAGCTAAGAATAAAATGTTTTTCAAGTTTAAGCATCAAAATAAACACCGGAATGTATAAAGATCTAGATTTTCACAGTCAGGGTGAGAATTTTAAGAAACATTTTTCAAATTTTGTGATACAATGTTTTAAATGTTTAATAATAAACACAAAATAGTAACTTAGTACATAGATACAGGAACGTACATACTTATATAATTATAATAGAGAGGATCTTTTTCTTCTTTGACCGCCCTATCCATTCCAGACGTTGGTAATCATCAATTTTATACTTTGTTTATTGCGTTAAATAACCCATACTTTTCTTTGTTTTTATTCTAAATAGTGGTTTTAATATTTATCCGTCTGAGACCTTCCTTGTTGGAAATTCCATCAGTCCACAAGATTCTGAGAATTTTTATATACCCTCATTTCAAATGCTTGTATGTACTTATCCGTAACATTTGATAGGATCCACACCTTAACACCGGACAACAAAACGCAATAAATATAACATGAGACAAGGCATTTATATGTTGTTCTAAGCTTTAATTTTATTACACAGTAACTTTTTCATCTTAAGAAACGGACTCTTTCGGTTTTACTTTTTTTAAATTTATTTTAATAATCCTATAATATATAATATATTATAGTCTTTATTCAAAGTGTTCAGGCTAAATTTGTGAATTTTGGTACTCGTTGTATAAACTGATTATTGTCCTTAATATTGTGTGTTGGATGTTCAACTTGTTTATAACATTTGTGTTTATAAATGTTTCTAGTCCTTTTAGATTTCTTCTTTAGGTGCCGTGTCCGTAGTCAGACGTTGCAGAGACACCATTGCCTAATATTACTCAGTCATAAAAGTGTCTTTCGATCAATCCATCTCTTTCCCTCCATTTTTTTTTTATTATAAAGGGATGTAGATGGTATAAATGTCCTCTAATTATCTGTGTTTCTCCTTTTTATAATGTTTATAAGCAGACGTTCCGAATCCATCATATTAGGAACATCTTTGTTGGAAGTGTGCAAAATCCACGATATTTTTAGGATCTGCCGATAGCACAACGATTCGAATGCTTTTAATTTGTTTAGCATTGTGGTCTTACAACCATATAATAGGATAGAACACTTCAGGCCCTTCTTGCGAATATGCATCAACAGATTTCTGTTACATAAAACTGGTTTCTAGGTCATAAAAGCATGACGTGATATTTTAATCCTGGTTATCTCTTCAGCAGAGTCACAATTTACATTTAACCAGCTGCCAAGGTATATAAAATGGTTTACTTGTTCTCCTCTCCTTAAGAGAAAGCAGACCTTGATGTATATTAATATTTACAACTGCCATCCACTTTGTCTTGAAATGCTTCACTGACTAGATTTACTAATGTCTGGAGATCTTGCAAATTTTCTGCAAGAACTGCTGTATTATCAGCGTATATGATATTGTTGATAACTTCTCCGCCTAGTCTTACTTCTTCTTGTCTGGCATCCAAAGCCTCCCTAAAGATTCCTTCAAAGTATATATTAAAAAGACTGGGTGACAAAACACAACCTGTCATACCCACGTTTGATGGGTAGTTTTTCATTACGACTATCTCCAATTTGGATAGAGGAAAATAAGTATTTTAGCTCATACAAAGTAGTACCTTTGTAGTTCTTAGACCATTTGTACATTCAAGTTGCTTATTACTCATTCTACTTTCGCTCATAATGAATACTCAGTTTTGTATAATTAATAAAAGTGTCTTAAATGTGACTCATCAAACTCATTAGTCTAAAGTAGCTGCATTTGGTGGACCTGCTTTTCTTTGGTAATGTTATAAAGAGTGACTCCAACCAAATATCTGGTATTTTTCCTTCGTTGTAAATTTTTATTCAAGAAAGTGATTAAGTAGGTAATGATTTCCTCGTCCAAAAGTTTAAGTAGCTCAGCAGGGATTTGATCTGGTCCAGGTGCTTTATTATTTTTGGCTTGCTGTATTTTCTAACTAGTTGTCACGGGTAGTATGTAACATTTTCTCGAGAAGCATCATCAAAAAGTTCACTGATGTTCAGTGGTGTTGTGTCTGTGTTTTTAAGTACGTGAGCATTTTTCAGTTTTCTAACTCCGGAGGTATATTTAAGTTTCTTGTGTCTTTATGTTTTTTTTGGAGGTCTTTTATTTTATTATATGAGTTCTCGAGCTAAATTTCCTTGGCTCGCTTAATTTTTCTTTTTACGAGTTTGTTGATTTCGCGGTATTTGTTAATATGTCTATTCTATGTTTTCCTCGAACCTCCATCAGGTCTAGGATTTCTTGTGTCGTTTTTAGACTATCCGAGATTAATATGATGTCATTTGCGTAGCCATAAATAATTGTTTGTGCGTTCATCGTTCACCGCAATGCCTTTGTACTGGTTTGGTAGACCAATATACACCTTTCTGTCCCCCATACGCACTGAAGTTAGTAATTAAAATACTATTGCTCATGTAATTTAGATTGTTATCGTCTTTCTAAGGATTGTCCAGTTTGGTTTCATATATTTTATTAATTTTGTTTTGTAGTTTGTCCTTAATGTACCTATAGATTATCTCATAAATGACAGCAATCAATTTATTCTCGCATTACATTCTTCTCTACTGCCTTGTCCATATGAAACATTTAATTATTTAGTAATTCATGTTACACAATTCTTAAAATGATCTTAATAGAAAGAAAAGTTTTAATAATGTGTTGGAAATATAGAAAAAAGATTGGCGTGAAAAAACTCTAAATTAGTTTTTGTATTGAGTATTTATTTGGTGGTGTAATATTTCTTTAGTTTAAAATTGATCAAAGAATAGGACTCAGAGTAAGTAACTTTGATTACTTTAATTACTTAGGCTATATGGCTTACGTACGTACCACTGACATTAATATAATATCAATTATATTATAAAAAAAAACCTGAGAGTTAAATTTAAACGAAATAAACCAATTTCTGTTTTTTTTTCACACATAACCTGATATGCTGTTTTATTTCAATAATTACTTATATCCAAATTTTTCGAAGCAGATCTGGATCACGTTCAAGTTGTATAACGATCTTTAACTGTACTTTTTAGAAAATATTCAATTAATTATTCATTACTTTGTTTAATTTTCCTCAGAAAAAATTGTTTTTTGTTGTTTCTGGAAAATTGATTATTACATCAATTAATATATAAATACTTATTTCACGATGATAAATGTATACCTAATAAAATTTGAGTAAGCTATGGATATGTTGGATCTTAAGAAGTTTCTGATATACTGATTTTTAAGTTGGGGGCTTGCATTAGGACGGAGAGAAATTTGCACCCCGTCATTATTAGAAGATTGTACATAATAAGATAAATACCTATGTAACATATTTAGTCTACAGAATTTATAGATATTTCAAAAATGGGAGGTAAATCGAAAGATTGGAGTATAAAAAATTTGCCAATATCCAGAAATCTCCGCAGAATAAAATGTTACTAAGAACTTACTAAATATTATATTTCTATCACTCATAATTTGACATTTAATACAGTAAGTATTCATTATTTATTAAGTTAATATTGCTCAAAATTCTTAGATTTATAGGTACGCGGAATACGTTATTTAAATTACCACCTAAAAAAATTATGCGATTTACTACATTTCATTTTACCAGCTTTAAAATGCGTCAAAACCAAGTAGATACCAATTTTAAAAAATCAATAATTATTAAAACTCGTGTTAGTAAAACTAACGAAATCTATCAATATTATTTGGTCAAATTAATATAATTTATGAAAAAACCGACACCGTCCTCATTACCTTTCAAATAATATTTCGTTTCATATATTGTTTAAACACAAAACAATATGCAGGGTTGGCCCCTCAATATCGTCCAGCCTAACCATTTGAAATAGCAAATAGATCATGTGTAGTATTGCGCTGTTAGGTGTAACACTGTTAAAAGTGTTACACCACTTAAAAATTTAACATATCGCCTATGTTTTGCTAGTTTAATGACAAATTTGTTCCGTCACGTCGAAAACTACACTGACAGAATTTGCAAAAGCTTAGTTATTTGAACTGTTGTTGGTAGCGTTTAACAGCGATGTTAAATAAGCATTTTTGATGCTATTCTATCGCAGGAAAATGGAAAGGAGGAGGATTGGACGACAGGCTGTTAACAGAATCCGAAAAACAAGTCTCGAAATGGATGGATATTAAAGCAACGATATTGAAAAATGGATTTTTCTTTTGTACTTGGAACGTTAGAACTTTCAAACTTTTTTTGAAGGATATCCAGAATCCAAAAACACATACCATCTTGTCAAGTGGTTTATATACAGGAAATAAGGAATTTGGAGTGGCAGTTATAGTTGATAATAAACTGAAACAGCGCATAACAGATCTTCAAGCAGTTACTGAACGAATTTGTAGGACACGAATAAAGACGCACTTCTTCAACTTATCTTGTTTTTACCAAATACTAGAACAAACATATGACCTAACACCAGAAACGACATCAAAATAGTTATATGTGACACAAACGCAAAGTTAGGCATTGCGAAAAAACACATCGGAATAATTAAGCACATATAGACACAAATAAAAACGGCAAATATCTTATTGACTTATTGAAATTAGTAAACACATGATTATCAGTTCTACCATATTTCCCATCAAAAATATACACAAAGGCACCTTAATATCCCTGCAGGAGATGTTGTGAACCAAATAAACCATGACTTGATAGAAAATCGATCAGCAACAAGCATTTGAACGTAAAAAGTAGACGAGGTGCATGCTGTGTATCCGAGTGACGATAACGGATACAGGGGCTCAGATATAGATGCAACATGAGATGACAGATCCATTTTAAATAACACAAGGGTTAAAACAGGGCTGGCTGGTACCAACACGCACAAGGACGCAAGAAATCTCCTTGGCAGTAGATCGTAGAGGAGAATGGCTATAGACCGTATCAAATGCAGAGGTTTGCTGAGGGAGACCAGGGCTGCAATTGGCCATAGAGATATTTATATCGGTAAAGGAGATCCTCTTTGGAATAAAAATTGACCTGATTTTTTCACAAAATTCAATGAATATTTCCAAATATCGGGGTGAATTCTTTTGAAGGGCCAAACCTGTATGTAATAATACTAGGAACAGAACTTGACTAACGAAAATCGGTTAATATGTATATTGTTTCGTGTTTAAGAATCAAATCTAGCAACAATATACTAGCAAGTTCTTGGATGGTACTAAAATCCTAATTATGCGCAGTAAAAAATATCACCACACATTTTCTTTTAGGATCAAGACCTTCCAGGATCTGCTAGTAGGTACAATGTCGTCGTGATAAACAGACAGATTTTATAAAGAGATAATGAGGATTAAGTGTTACGTGAAAACCCTGTTTGAAGCAAATTAATTTATTTGGGAATTATATATATATATATATATATATATATATATATATATATATATATATATAAAGTGTTTGTGTTTGTGTGTAAATGTGTATATTCTTGAAATATGAATAATTTTTTTAATCAGTTATATCAGTATATATCAAAAAGCCAAATTTTTGTTTGCACAATGGAATTTAGTCAATTTCCCACTCGACATCGTAAGAGACATCTACGCATACAACTAATTAAGTTATTTATCGAACGAGGACATTGAAACATCATAATTTTAGAAAAAAAAATATTAGGTATGTTTAAACAGATCAGTATAGTTATGTGCTTAAATCTCTTGGTCAATGTACATGACTTATTGTTTAGTCTATAAACCAAATTGCTTCATTCACTGCAATAAACGCTTTTTAGACCCAATGTACGCATTCGGCATGACGTTAAAGACCTATTAACATACATTAAAACCAACAAAAAACTAAGAGTACGCTTTTATATGTAGCTATACTTTCCGCAGATAGCTGTGAAACGAGTTAAAACTTGTTATATACTTGTTTCATTTCATCAAACATTCCTTTTTGTTGCCATTTTTAGATTGTATGGTATTCTACTGCGAAGGTATCTATGGAGTGGCATTAAATGTAGATACTTGTTATTATTCCTAACATTAAGAGATCACGATAGTTTCGAATCTGCATATACAAGGCTCCAATGGTATTCGAAATGGGAAATTTTCGGAAAAAGAAATATTTGATTGAAAGAACTAGTGTACAATATTACACTATAAGTGTACGTGTATTATAACTATATATCCTAATACAATCTTATCTAATACGGTTAGGAGCCGTATTGCTATATCTCCTGTTGTAGGAAAATGAGCACTTATTTAAAATTTCATTTTGATTTGATACATATTACATTGGTTTCAAGAATCACGGAACCTAGTAAAACGATCGTACTAGGTTAAATGTAATCTAAGACATTAAGAAGAATAAATAATTGGTGTAATCACTAATTCTGTTTAACATACTAAAATACTGTTAACGTAATTACGCCATCGTCATTTCAAATAGGTAGTTAATGTTCTTTGATTTGTTGTTGAAGTAGTAGTGGTAGTGTATTTGTAGACATTTGACGTCGCGTCGTACTGTTGTAGAACAATTACGAATAAATTGTTATAACTTCTCTTCCTCCACCTCGCACCATTAAAACTCTTTCTAAACCTTCTGTTAGCACTTCTAAAAACTCCATATCTGTAAAAATAAATTTATCAAGAATGCCTTTCTTAAAAGGAACCACAAAATTGTTCAATTTTTAAAATATTCAACTTAAGAGTTTATCTTTATGCACGACACATTAATAAGAATGGATAATAAATAAATTTAAATACAAATTGTGCCTGTAGAAATTATTTAGATTTCAACGGTACGACTGCTAGATATTTTTGGCCCTTTTTAAGTCCCGCAGTAAACAAAGTGAGATTAACAACACGTTTTGCTTACAATAGAAAAGTGACTCTAATAGTTTTAACAGGGCACAGACAAAAAATAAAGGATCAAAAAGAAAAGTGTGAAATATAAAAATAAAATGACTAATGCGAATGTAAATGTTCCTCAGCTGACAAATGCTACAAATTTTAACAATTAGAAATTCATAGTAGCTATATTACTGGAAGAAAGGCTTGGAGAATCGTATTGAACCAGTTCAATCTGTACCCTCTGTGTGAGATGCTACTGGACAGGAAGCTTCAGGTTACCCGAAAGCTGTATCCACCCGGCCGTTGGCATGAAGTGCGTGGGACGCCGAAGCTGAGCGAGCTCTACCTTTTACCATAGACGAACCCAACGCAGCGCTGAGTGCCCTAAAGACACCAAAGGCTCCTGGACTCGATGGGATACCACCAGAAGCAGTGAAACGCATTGGCAGTATGGAGCCGACGTGGCTTTCGGAACACATGAATGCACTGCTTGAAACTCAGCGATTTCCGGCAAATTGGAAGATCTCGAGGCTCGTGCTACTCCCAACCTTCTGTCGTGCATAGGTAAATTATATACGAGATGTTTTTAAGTACTGCCGTACTGCCTGTCACCTAGGCAGTACGGTTTCAGAAAGAACAGGAGCACGGTGGATGCGCGTAGGCATTCCTAGTGTTGTTCGACATCCGGAATGCTTTCAACACATTAAAATGGAAAGAAGTAATAAAAGCTTTACGAGTGAGAAGGTGTCCGAGGTACTTGATGAATTTAGTTTCTGTCAGAAAGGAAAATTGTGGTAGAAAAAGGAATGGTGGTTAACGTGATGGCTGGAGTGCCGCAGGGGTCAGTCCTAATGTTGAGGAATGGATGAAAAATGCATGAGCTAGAACTGGCTGCGGGTAAGACCGAGTCTATAGTTCCCAAGAAACAAAGGGACGATATAACTTTCGAACGTGTAGGAAAGAGAGTGGTTCGAAAGAAATGCGTGAGGTTTTTAGGGGTGACTCTGAGTTAAAATGGAAGTTTTAACAAACATATGAGAGAAGAAATGAGGATATAGCAGCCGAACATTTAAATAAAAGGGAGAGGTCTATAATGATGTGACAAGAGGAATGAGAAGGGTGGCGCAGTGGACGAAGTCGCTGATTCCTAATCTGAGAAGATGGATGGACTACGGTCAGCGGCGTTTGGATTTCTTTCCAACGCATATGCTCATAGGACATGGTTACTTCAGGGCATACCTTTAGCGATTTGGAAATAACAAATGTATGTACTGTGAAATATCGGACACTATCTCACACACTCTATTGGTATGCGATAGATGGATAGATGAGAGGAGCTTGCTTGAGAGAGAGATAGGAAGTAGGGTGCAATGAGTCACGAAAATGGTGGATGAGATGCTTAGCTCGTCAGATCGGTGGAGAGCAGTTCAGAGATATATGAGGAGCTCGCTAGAGAGAAAGAAACACGTAGAAAGACGACCCGAAGGGAGGCAAGTTGCCCAGAAGCAAGCAAAAAGATAAGGCAAAATGAGAAGGAGGCAGATTGAACATGAACAGGGAGGAACAGAGGGAGAGAAGAATTCAGTCGTAGTGAGAACGTGCTAGAATGTGTAAGAATTGTGCCTGGATGAGAGATCAGTTGAACGGCGTGCCAATGTTGCGTTTCAATTAGGGCGATCCGACCGGTAATTCACCGCCGAGGAGGGCGCTTTTTCAGCAGGTAGGTCTCTGGCATTGACGGCGATGGTGTCCGAACAACCCCTGCGTGCGGTTTCGGATATCATCGTGGCCACGCTGGAGGAATCCTGCGTAACCGAGGCCGAAAGGTGGTTCTGCCCACCTTCTAGGACCGAGGTGTTTCGAACATGTAGACCACCCTCTCATAAAAGACAAAAAAAATATATTGGAGAAAATAGAGCAATATTACAAGCAAAAGATAAAGCAGAATTTAACTCAAAGATTCTAAAGGTAAAAGCACCATACTGCAATTTTTAATAGACAAACATTTATATTTAATATAGGGTGAAAAACTACAAAAGAACTGACTAAACCCCTGAAAAACATATTCGTGAGAAAAAGTATATTTACAAAATTAACATTGAAATGTTAAATTATTAACATTGAAGCTGAAACAAAATGAAAAATTACAACATCACTTTCTATTGCTCGATATCTTTATAGATATTTAGAAAATGATGGTTCAGAAGTAGAAGAAGAAGGCCTTACTATAAAAAAGTCAATTTGATGAGTTGGCTAGGCAATAATTAATTTTTATAGGATCTATATATGATGTTGTTTAGTTTATATAATAACAAAAAGGTATGGATATAAATATGTGTAGATGATATATTATAAATGGGTGAAGATAAGGATGTCAAGTGTATTTTAAAAATATGACAAGATAATTTTTAGGCAAAAGATTTAAAGCAAATTAAAATTTTTTTAGGCATGAACATTACTAGGCTAGAGGACACTTTGACACAAATTGATCAAGAAATATTGATATAAACACTTTTGAATTATTTTAATGTAAATGGATGTAAATCAAATATGACTGCAATTCCAAAAGGGCAGTGAAATTCTGACTAATATTCCTTGCAGGCAATTAATTGGAGGACTGATGTATTTATCAACAACGAGTAGGCCAGACGTTAGTTATGCAGTATCATACTTAAGCAGATTTTGAGATTGCCCTACTACAAAGACATTAAGTACTGGAAAAAGAATTTTAAGGTATCTACAAGGAAGTAAGAAACTAAGATTAACTTATTATAAAAATACAGATTATCAGATATCACCCAAAGGACATTCAGATGCCGATTGGGCAACGGAGAAAAAAGATAGGAAAGGCGTGAGTGGATGAATTTTATATTGTAATAATAAAAGTACAATTTTAATGTCTCAACAGTAATGAAAATTCTAAACGAGTAAAACATATCGATCAATTAATTTTTTAAAAGACTTAATTTTAAAGAAAGAAGTTGTAATCGATTATATATCAACTGAGCAAAATTTGGCTGATATTTTGACTAAATCTTTAGGTACTAAGACTCTAATGAATCTTAAAAATAAAATTTATATTAAGTGAATTGTAATAATATTTTGTTAATTATAATAGTTGCGATTTTTATGTTGCAACATTTCAAATCGAGAAGTATTGGAATTTTAACACAACACTGGTTCAATGTCAGTAGAGATTCCGGTTGTCAACTGTCACTTATCTTATGTATTAATGTAGAGGAATGGCACCTAATTTCGGACAGTTGCCCAATTTCGGATACTGCCCTAATGTTTGGATTGCTACTTAAATTGCTATCCGAAATTAAGATACCAGTGTGTCCGAAATTAGGCAACCAATTTTTATACATTCTAATGCATCTCTACATCATTATGTACATTTTTTTTTAATTTTTACATTATGCTGTTCCTTTCTAACAAACATGCTAATTGTTTATATTGTTTCGATTTACCATGTATGAATTTGCTCATTGAGTAATAATACGTCAAAATATACAGTTGTTCAAAATCTATAAGCAAAAACAAAAAGCTATTCCAAATTAGGCGTCTTTCCTCTAATTAGCACATGTTTAGTTTCAATTCTTACTATAGAATAAAGTATTTAAATTAACTGCGAACTCTTAATTACCATAACTGGGGAACAAACTCTACAAATTTTTTACGAAAATTTTGATTTTATATTTGGTTATGTTAATTAAGTTAAATAAAATATGTACTGCTCTATGCTAGACGAAGCCAGGTCCTGTTATCAATATCCAGCACCGAAAATTCAAAAAAATTAAAACAAATTAAATCTTAATTGATATAAGTGATTTATGATTCAAAAGAAGCGTTAAATGGCACTTACAGTTAGATTCTCTTTCCATCTTGGTGTCTTTGGGCGGCCCTGGCAAATTCAAAATGACTAATTGAGCATCATGGGATCTATTCACTATTACTTCATTCAATCGTATAGCTGTATGCATTCGACGAACATTACCCTCGTCGCTAAAACAAATATCTCATATTACTACAATTAATTAAGCACGGGTCTACTAAGTAAAAAAAGTTTATTTTTTTTTATTTTTTGTTAAGTAGAATGTTCAATATGTATTTCGAGGATGTGAGCTTTGCAAATGATAAACTTAGAAAGTTGACCCCACTGATTAATAAGTTGATAGACAGATTTCAGTTAGTTCTTGTGCCAGGACTAGATGTATTTATTGACGAAACTGTCTTTTAGAGGTGTTTTTTTCAGTAGGTCGATTAACAAATTTAAAACAGTACATTAAACACCAAAAGAACAAATTTGGAATCAAATTGTACAAACTTTGTACAACTGGTGGATATACCTATAATCTACAAGTGTATTGTGGAACTGATGGTGTCAGTAATACAACAGCAAATGTAGTCATAAGTTTGATGGACAATCTTTTGGTCAAAACGCGAATCCTCCATATGGATAACTAGTATACTAGTGTTTATTTAGCATCTCAATTATTGAACAGAAAAACACATCTTGTTGGAACTGTAAGGACGAACAGAAAACTGAACGCGAAAGAAGTTGTGGCAAAAAATCTAAAAAGACATGAAGTATTTGTCCCAGGAAAGTGGTACAGGTGTCGTTATGATGAAATGGAAAGATACGAGAGATGTGCAACTGTTGACCACCAAACACACCGATGATGTAGTGGGAGTGAGACAACGTGGAAAATAGATGGAAAAACGAAAAGCCATCACGGATTATAACAAAGCCAAAGCTTATATTGATGTTTCGGATCAATTAAAAGCATATTCGCATTCTCTTAGAAAGGGAACGAAATGGTACCGGAAGTTAGCGATCGAGCTAATTTTAGGTTCTGCTTTAGTGAATGCATACTTGTGTTAGAAGGAAATAACAAAAAATAAAATGCAGATTACTGAATTCAGAGAGCATCTTGCCTTGACACTTTAAGATGTAACTCATGAGCTTGTATTGGCCAAGAACATCCAAAATGATGAGCGTCATATATTACAAGAGCACGCTAAAGGTCAATGTGTTGTGTGCTATGCTTTAAAAAACGAAACTTTAGGACGGCAAGAAGCATAAAGCAAAACTCCAAGAAGCAAATGGCAGTGCACGTCTTGTAAAAAAAGTTTTTGTGTTCCATGTTTTTTTGAAACGCATTCTGCTACAAAATCAAAGTAATGCGATTTTTTTTTCATTTATATAAAACTATGTCTTTATTTTTGTAACCAAGTTTTTGCTAATAAATGTTTTGTTTGAAATACAATATCTCCTCATTGATGACACTCAGTTGACTGTAAGTACTGAATGTGTCTAAACATTCCAGACTGGTTCACATTAGATGTTTCTATAGACGGCTATTTATTCCCTCCCATAAATTTATGATTATCGTGTGACTTTACAGTGAGCTATGCCGTCTTATTTTCTGTTTGACATGACAGTCTATTGGTGTCACGCCGGCCTAAGTTTACCGGCAGTAAGACATTGCGTTGATGTCTCACCACGCTTAACGTGTTAAAAGGAGACATTGACTTTAGATATATGTTAGCTTTATCACTTCTGTCTGTTAGTCTCCCCTTTTTAGCCGTGACCCTTTATTATTATCTAACATGTACTGTTGAACGGCAGAAATAGAGTAAGTCTCGTCAAAGAGGACATTATATTTTAGAAATATCTATTCATAAGACATAGAATGAAATATACTTACGGTGTTTTAGGGGTTTTATTTTCCTCTATTGAATTTGTATGATTATGTTCATTAGAGCATTCTTTTTCTTTCTCAGAAGAATCATCCTTTTCTTTGGAATTATCACAATCTTCTTTCGTTTCAGTTTTAGGCTACAATAATAAACTGATTGAAAAATACACAATATTATAATTATATAATGATTTTAATTTGCAATGCTTATTGGAAAAAAAATTATAAGATTTTTGTAATGAAACAGTTTGAGAGTTAATATTTTTATCAAAATCTAAAATTAAAAAGAAATTTGTATTTTTTAATGGATGTATTTTAATTTAATGCAATGCAATATTTGTAATGTAAAATAAATATTGTTTTATCTAACAAAGTCACTAGAGCACATAAGTAAACATGATTTATCCATAACAATATAATATACCTCATTGGTAGGCTCAAGATCATTTTTGTTATCTTTTTCAGAACCAGGTTCCTGGAATCGAACCTTAGTTGCTATTTTAGTATCTACATTTTGATGATGTTGATCTACTATAGATTGGACCTAAAAAATGCGATTAGTATTTACAATGATCACAAGTTATAAAAAACCACAAAGTGTCCAAAGTATCTGTTATGATTTTGCACCATTGTAACTTAAGCTAGTATGATGCATTTGATGAATGAGAAGAAATGTAATGTGTATAGTGAACATCTTAAATTAATTTAGTAAGATGAAATCAATTGTTTATAACTTAAGTTAAACATAATTGTCCTAGTCTTAGCTTAACCTTCTAGTGGGAATCCAAACCCGACGTACCCAAAGTGAAGTCAACTAAAGCCATTTTCACATCAGTGTAGAAAAATAATTATAATTTAGTATTCAAGGTACAGGACGTTCAATTATGTTGAGATAATTATTAGAACCCCATTGTAGACAAATAATATATACTTGATTAAAATAATTTTACACTTCATATGCATAATTAACTATATTTAATCAGATTACAATTAAGTAGACCGACTACCATAGGGGTATCAAGGGTAGTACTTGGGATTAGTCTACTTATTAAGGAGATATATGAATTGATGTAAAAATAGTTGATAGTATAAGGAGATTATGATAGTTTCAGTCAGAAAATAAATAAATTTATTGCTTTTAGGTATCATTTATAATCTAAATAATGTTGGTATTGTAATTCTATATTGGATCTTTTTAGTATGAAGGGTTGGAATTATCTATCAATGACCGTTTGTACTATCCCAAGATGAACCTGCAGATAATACTACCCTAGCAATTTAGAAGAAAGACGATGTGAAAGTCCAGAATATAATTGTACAATGTTTGCATGATAGTATACTGGAAATGGTTAAATTAAATACCTCAGCAAAAAAGAGTATAGGTACATTGGAAAATATATACTAAAAGAAGAGAATTTGTGGAAAATAAGGAACAAGCAGTATCAGTATTGGAAAAATAAAAATGTAAATATAGCATTCCTAGTAGCAAATGATGACATGGTAACATTCTTGACAAGTCACTTTAGTTACCAACTCAAAATCTAGTGAAATAAATTTCATAATGGATAGTGGTGCTACGAATCTTTTAGTTACGAAGAATGCTGAAAGTTTTAAGAGAATATCCAGGAAGTAATATATAACATAAATGTGGCAAAGAAGGATCAATCATTGGTGGCAACAAAACAAGGTGAGTTGAATTTACAAGCAACAAACGGGAAACAAATGGAGATAAAAAATATATACCTGGGTATATATGGGTACCAACATAATCAACTTTCATATAATTTAATTTATGTGAAATTGTATTCAAAGTGGAACAGCTCAAAATAATGAAAGGAAATCATGTTGTGATAACAGGTGAGTTAATAAATCACTTGTATATTGTTAAATTAAGATGTAAACATGTACTAGAAGCACAAATCATAGCTGTTGATCGTAGTATACTGACACATGGGAAAATGGGTCATTCTGCACAGTATACCGTATCTATACGTGAAATATGTTTAAAAGAAAAACAATCACGGTTACCATTTCACAATATTGATAATGAAAGAAAAACAAAAAGAATTTTAGAAGTTGGTCAACAGATTTACGTTTTCCTTTAGACCCAGTAACTCTTCTTCTTCTTCTAATGACACTACAACCCGTTATGGGTTTTGCCTTGCTTAACAACTTTCTTCCATTCTGCCCTATCGGATAATTTCCTTCGCTACTGATTGATGTTTATGGTTTTTTCAGACCCAGTAACTAATGATAATAAAAAGGGTTTTGTTAAGTTTATAGAACTTTATTCACATTCTTGTATATGTTATTTGATTGAAACGAAATCTGAAGTAATAGATAAATTTAAAGAATATATTGATATGGTCACTGCTAAATTTAATGTACAAATTGAACGAGTAAGGTGTGATTATGTAGGTGAATTTGGTGTGGTGAAAAGCCAAATCTGGAAAAGATAAAATTATTTGGTTGTAATGCTTCTAATTTAATTCCTAAATAGAAAAGGAAATCTAAGCTTGATCCACGTAATCAAAAGCTAATTATAGTGGGTTATTCAGATAATGATTACAGACTATGGAATCCAAAAGAAAAGAAACTAATCCATGCACTGAAAATCTTAAAAAAGATAAAATTAGAGTGATTGAGAATGAACAAATAGTATAAACTCAAACTGAAAATACAGTGGAAATATTTCAGAAATATTCACTGAACAAGAAAATATACATGAAGAAGCAGAAGTAATTGAATGGATTAATGAAAATAGAAGAAGTGCAAGAAATAAAAAAAGACCAATGTATCTCGAAGACTAAATTTGTGAGTATGATTCAGAGACAAACCTACTAGCAGCTTTATCAGCAGGACATTTTCTTGATGACGTTCCTGAAACCTTCGCTGAGGTAGTTCAAGACGTGGAATGAAACAAGCCATCAGCGATCAATTTTAGTCACTGGAAGAACACAAAAAATGTGAGTGCAATAGACTCAAACTGGGTGTTTCGTGAAAAAGAAGTGATCGGAAAGTTAGTTCAGAAAGCTAGATGGTAGCTCGAGGTTTCCAATAGTGTAACATTAGTATGTTTCATTGTACGTAGAATATGATCTTTTTGTAAAACGCTGGATATTAAATCCGCTTTCCCTTATGGAACGTTTAAAAGAACCAGTTTAAATGTATCAACCAGAAGTGCTTGAAAGACATGACAAACATTTAATTTGTAAGTTAAGTAAATCATTGTATGGTTTAAAAGAACCTTCAATTGTTTTGGAACTCATTTTTTCACATCTGTCTAACTGATCTTGGTTTTTAACGATCTAGGAAGGATCCTTGTTTATATTGTAAGGATGTTACATTTTTTAATTGTGTATGTTGTTAATTTGATAATATTTTCAAAAGTGGGGAATACTATTTTTTTCTAAAAACTGAGTAAAAAAAAGTAAAAGAAAAAGTTTTATAGTGAAAAATTAGTATTTTTAGGTTTCAGAGAAGTAAAATTGAAAATAAAGTTTATATTTCACAAAAGGAATTAATTAAGAAAATCTTGCACATATTTAATATGAGTAATTGCAATAAATGCAACCTAAACTTAATTTGTCAATTGGTAAAGATAAAAATTTGATAGGAAATCCTAAGTTACCTTATGAGGAATTGATTAGTTGTTTTATGTATGTGATGCTTTGCTCTAGGCTAGATTTAAGATTTTGTGTGTCATATTTCAGTCAATTTCAAAATAATTACAATGAAGAACATTAGAAAATTTTGAAAAGTGTTCATATATACTTAAAATTTACAGAAAATTATGTTTGGATTGTTAAGCAAACAAAAAGGTAGAAATCATGCTATTTTAACGCAAATCACAATTCAAATGTTTGATTATAATAAATGTGCAAACCTACTAAAAATCAAGTTTGAAGTACAGAGATTTAGTGGCTGTGATTAGAAAAGAAAGAAAGAAGAAATTGTAAAAATAAAGATGAGACTCGATTTAGAGAAATATATCGATACATAAGATATGAGATTAAGCGAGCAAACGAGGCCTGGATGGAACAGAGATGTCGTGAGATGGAAGAACTACAAAGAAAACATGACGAGTTAAATATACACAAAAAACTTTATTTACCTACCATAAAAAGAAATTACCTACACTTAGAGAAAAAGAACTCCACACTTTATGAGAAACTCCAAAGGTAAAAGTATTCTCGACTTAAACGAAAAAAAGGAAGAATGGACCAACTATATAAAAGAGCTCTTCCTGGATTCGATGCCACCACTTAACACCACAAAGTATACGAAAACTGGTCCTACTATTTTAAAAGCGGAAGTAGATAAAGCCATCAAACAAAGCAAAAATGCGAAATCTCCAGGCCCTTACCAAATATCATCAGACTGGCTCAAATTTCGACTGACATATACGAAACTGGAATACTGCCACAAATATGGTTGGAGTCTACATTTATCCCACTTCCAAAAAAAACCTAATACATCATCATGCAAAGACTTCAGACTAATTAGTCTCATGAGTCACTCTCTCAAACTACCTCTTATACTGATCATTCTTAATATAATCAAGCAGAAATCTGAAGACACAATGGGAAATCAAACAATTCGGTTTCAGAGAAGGTTTGGGAATAAGGGAAGCTTTGTTCTTAATGATTACACTACTTCAACGATCATGGGAAGTAGAGAAACCAATTTACGTCTGTTTTATAGATTTTGAGAAGGCGTTTGATAAGGTTCAACATGGTAGGCTGTTTGAATATCTAGAAATGATTCGAATAGATGATAAAGATCTGAGACTTTTACAACATCCATATTGGAATCAACAAGCTTCTATTCTGGTAGACGGCAAAGAAACAGACAAAATTTGTATTCGAAGAGGTTTTAGACAGGGTTGTGTATTGTCCCCAACTTTGTTTAAAGTTTACTCAAGGGCAATGTGGAGTTCGAATCAGGGGAGAAACTATTAACATCAGATATGCACATGACACCGCGATCATGGGTGAAAGTATCTAAGATCTTCAATTCCTTATAGATCGAGTCATTAGAGAATGCTCTAATAATGGACTAAGCATAAATACAACCAAGACAAAGTTACTTGTGGTTAGTAAACAAGACCTCGGCGCTATACAACTTATTGTCAATAATGAACCGATAACAAAAGTTAACCATTTTAAATACCTAGGATGTTGGATAAACGGGACACTAAATCCGGATGAAGAAATTAAAACTCGTATAGAAATTGCAAGAGGAGCATTTATGAAACTTAGATGTATTCTGAGCAATTCTCAGCTGAACTTACAGCTGAGAATTAAGTTCCTAAAATGTTATGTGTATCCTGTATTACTGTAGGGATGTGAAACCTGGAACAAATTAGAAGCATTCGAGATGTGGTTATATCATAGAATGCTCAGAATATCATGGGTTCAACACATTTCAAACAGAGAAGTCTTGAACAGAGTAGGTCAAGGTGAAGATGACTTAATAAAGACGATAAAAAAGAGAAAACTCGAATATTTGGGGCATATAATAAGAGGAAGCAGATACAGGATAATGCAGTTGATACTCAACAGAAAGATCGACGGAAAAAAAGGAATTGGTAGAAAGAAATACTCATGGTTCCTAAACCTTCGTCAATGGACTGGCTTATCAGCCAGTTATTACATGCCGCGCAAGATCGAGAACGATATGGGCAAATCGTCATGGAAGTTACCCACGCCTAAAACTTGGGCACGGTACTCAAAGAAGAAGATGTAGAGCACGTAGATTACATTTTTGTTTAAGTTTGAGTAAGTAAAATAAATAATTTATAATATTTTAAAGTTTACCAACGTTTATTTATTGGCATATTAGAATGTATTTATACCAGAGAACTACGAACGCAGAGAAGCGACACTCCTTTGATCTTGCGTGGGCAAGCCGCCAACGAGTGAAAATGACAGGAAAGCACTTTATTTTTTAATAGTCAGTGGGCATATTACACAATATAAATTCTTAAATAAAATTGAGCGTTTATGTTGACTTTCAATAAATATGAAATATTGCACTGAAAAAATAATTACATGCAGGGCCGGCTTTTGTTGACATTCTAAATGGTGTAATTATTTTTGATTTACAAAAGGTTGCAAATACATCGCACAACGCAAAGTAATGGTGAAATATGTTGTGTACTCCGATCCATATATTTGATCTTTGTTATTTATATTTAACGAATTAAACATTGACAGACAACTTTTGTATATAGCAAAAAGTAGATGAGTATTTAGTTTTTTCATAATTTAATGTAAGTTTGTTTGGTGAAAAAGACAGCAAATATTTGAAGTTATGTTAATGTAAGTTTGTTTATTTGCAATCATGTTTTTATTTTGAAATCTTGTTCTGTTGTAATTTTAATATTTCCCAATTGTGTTTATCGTATTATATTGAAATTTGGAAGGTACTGCGTCATGCACCAATGTTTTTCTTTTATTTTTTTTTTGACAATAAGATTATCTTCAAAATGTAGTTCACAAATCCTATAACTATTATAAAGTATATCCATTTTTAACAATAAATCTTCTCGTCTGCAAGCTTCTATCCACATTTTGGCACTACAAATTTTTAACAGAACAAATTTTAAACAAAGAATTTTTTGTATTTATAAATAATACTTCATTACTTACAACTATAAGAGTATTAGTATATTCTAAGTGTATTGTAAGTAATGAAGTATTTAACTTTTGTCAATATCTCATCTTAATAAATTTACAGTTTTCTCCTAATTAAGTCTCAAAATTGTCACTAAATATTGAGATATACAATAAATAAAGTTTTAATATTTTTTATTTGTAATTTCCATTTAAATATTTATTCCCTAAATATATTGTGTACTCCGATCCATATATTTGATCTTTGTTATTTATATTTAACGAATTAAACATTGACAGACAACTTTTGTATATAGCAAAAAGTAGATGAGCATTTAGTTTTTTCATAATTTAATGTAAGTTTGTTTGGTGAAAAAGACAGCAAATATTTGAAGTTATGTTAATGTAAGTTTGTTTATTTGCAATCATGTTTTTATTTTGAAGTCTTGTTCTGTTGTAATTTTAAGATTTTCCCAATTTTCGATCTAATTATGTTTCCAACAATTTTTAGTTTGAGCATTTTAGGAATTTCTTTGTTTCGTTTAAATCAAATATTCTCGTGTATAAAACCCTCTATATATTTTTATTTCCTAAAAATACTATATTCGTATTGTTGTCTGCGAGCGCTTTCACACCAGTAGGCCAACATCTGTGTTGATTTTTTGACCTGAGCCTTCGGAGACAATAAATTTAATGTGTGTTCGTAGTTCTCTGGTTTTTATTCTGAACTATCCCTTGGCAAACCAAAATTTATTTTTTTATTGCTTCACTTAACGAGAGCTCGGGCGGACACGTCGGTGTCGGCTTACTCAAAGTCAAATTAATACTATTATGTAATAACTAATAATAATTACAAAGCAATAGTAATTACCTGTTATTATTCTTAGGAAATCTAAATAAACTTATTCCTTTTCCTGTCACAGATGAACATCCGCGAAACGCACAACAATAACCAGAAGACATTTTAAATACTTATAAATTAAACTTTTAACTATAAACTATACTATAAACTTATATATTTAACTATAACTATAAACTATAACTATAAACTTTTAACTACTAAGTAAATTAGATAAATGGTCAAATGCACTTGTATAGTCGAGAGTTTACCACAGATGCCTACGGACTATCGTAAGCAACTTAAAGTTGAAGAAAACGCACGTGTTTTTGACAGTAAAGCACCTTATTTGGGTCATGCGTATACAGAAAAGATACACGAATTCCGGGCCTCGTGTCGCTTCTCCTGTTTATACATTTTAGAAATATCTAAAATAATTAAGTTTCATTTTCACTTTTATTTTCCGTGAATTTTTTACAAATGATTTATAATAATTGTGTTTTTTTATAGTCTATCGTTAACAAGAAACACAAGCAAAAGCGTATAACATTTAATTGTTTTTATATATAACTGATCAAGTTATGTGAAATTCTGATCTGATTTTTTTCTCATATGAACCGTGAACCCTTTGAAATCGCCGTAACTTGGACAATTATCTTAAACTCAACTGTACACACATGCATAGTTTAAATCAAGTATGATTTTTTTTATTTTTGCATAATAATAACAGTAATAATATTTGAGAATTCTAATAATCATCAATATATTTGTATATTTATGCAATAGTTTAGGTAGTGAGAGTTAGACACTTTGTGCAATAATCTAAACAGTGAATGAACATGGTAATTAAAATAAAAGTATGTATCGAAGTGATAGGTAACACAGAATGGATGAAACGAGAGCGAATAAGCGTGCATAAAAGAAAATACCATGAATCTAGCAAATGAATATTTTGCTTTACCAAAGGCAATTTCTCCTCCGTTGATAAGTGATTAAAATCCGCCAGATCCACCTTGCGTGTGCGAGATACAAGTATTTATTAATCACAAAAAATATTTCAAAAACAATAAAATATTTGGTAATTGTGAAATACTTACAACACCAAGACTTTCTTTTTTATTTAAGCGAAGTTCACGGAGCATCTGGTTGCGTTGCTCCATCATTAGGGTTCGTTCATAAGTGTAGGCAGAAATATCGTGGTCCATCTAAAATATTATCAATTATAATTATAAACATAAAAATAGTCAGTAGCATTTAAATTTATGTTTCATTTAACACAGCATGTCAGCAACCTTTTTGTGAGGACTGAGGGTCGCTTTCAAAATAATTTGTTTTATGCGGGCCGCACATTCAAATGTAACTTAAATAGTCCTTTTATATCATATACGAAAATAAATAAGGTGAAATGGGTTAGCTGTGGTTTGGGGTAACTGTGGCGCCCATTAATGTTTTTTTAATAACAAGATCTTATAAAGTTCAGTACATCTTGTTTAATCTCTCTTGTAGTAACTAGTAAGAAATTCTTGAGACATCAGCTACCAAAACAAAAATTCAGTTAGCAACTAAAACTCGGACCGTCATGTTTTGATCTATGCAAGTAAATTGCGTAGTAGTTGAGTTAAATTTGAAAAACTTGGTTCAGTACAAAAGCAGTGCTAATTTTCAATAAATGCTTCTGAAAGTAAACTTCAGGCACCATCTAGCGCTGAGTAACCGGAGTATGAGAAGAATAGTTTGGTAATTAAGGAGTCCACAGTTACCCAGACATTGACCCACGATCGGTGCAACTGTAGACGGCGATACCAAGGGAACTGTGGTTCCAAAAGTTTCTAGGTTATTTTGTTTATATCTTATTCTTTGGGTGCAAAAATGCCAAGAAAATATATTAAAAAGACTATCAATCGTGGTTGAAGTAGGTATTCAATAGAAGCATTAGAACTGGGTATAAGAGATGTAAAATCGGGAAAATCTTCACTAAAGAATGCTGCAATGGAGCATGGCGTACCAAAATCGACACTCGGATTAAAAGTGAATGGGTGGAAAGGTAGACCAGCGGCAGGAAATGCACAAGGTAATAACAAAATTAGGTACCTACTAGATTTACTTTAAAACAATAAAAATCTATTACAGGTGTGATTGGAGGTGGTAGAATTGCCCTTTCTAAAGAAGATGAAGACATTTTGGCTTCTCGGATAAAAACTATGAGTAAGTGGGGGTTTGAACTATCTCGTAAACAAATACTCAACACTGTACTGAATATGTTCAGCAAAATAATCTACAAACGACCTTTAGAGAGGGGAAGCCTGGTGAAGATTGGTTTCTGAATTTTTCGAAACGCAACATTTACAACTTCAACAATACTCTGCTAGGATATGGAATGCTGATGAAACGGCTTTTAATTATGACTCCAGCCGTATTAAGGTTGTAACTGGAATCGGAGAAATAGCACAAAGGCAAACTGCAGGTTCAGGACGAAAAACAACAACAGTTTTGGCATGTGCTAATGCCATCGAGCAAAAAGACAAAAGAGGGAATTTAATCCTTATGAAAAGGAGACCAAAAAGTGGCCTCTGATGGCGGAAATGTCCGGAAATGCGAATGCGCCAAATTTAAATTTTCCGACACTTATTAACAGTAGCTATATAATATTTTTCAGAATGTATCTTAGACGAGAAAGTTTTAATTAATTATTAACGGTAATAGTCTAAAATGCGACACAATTGTTAAAAAACTTCATTATAAATAAGATTTCATCTGACATTCGGGACAAACAATAACATAACCCAACTAAATTTGATGTCAAACAAGGAGAGATACTCTCTTTCCTTGTTTAATGTGGCCTCTAAAGATCGCACTTCCTGTCTAACAATATTTTTGCCCCCACTACCTTTACATTCCCTCTTTTGTCTTTTTGCTCGATGGCTAATGCCAACTGATCAATATTGGCACCTATGATCCTTCATAAGTGCAAAACGTTATATTACAATATGTTTGGCACTATGAGTATCCATAGACATCTTACTACGTATCCGAAAACGGTTGGATGACTGAACAAGTATTTTTTCCATGGTTCAAAAATGTTTTTTTGAAAAAATGCGTTGAAAGACTTACTCTTTTGATTTATGATGGTCATTTATCGCACATTTCACCCGAACTGTAATACTACTTCTGTAATATTGCAGCCTTTGGATGTGTCTGTTCAAGGGGCTCAAGTCTTCATGGGATGCTTTATTACCAGATTGGCAGCGCAAAAATTTAGGAAAATAGCTAACAAAATACGAATTTTCCAACCTTTGGGAAAGCTTGCGCAGTCTTCGAGAACCTGTTGTGGTGAATGGCTTTAGAAAAACAGGTATTTTTTCTCTAAATCGAGATTCCATTAACAAAGAAAAGTTTGATCCCGAAAAGTTAAAACGATATTATGAAGAGAAAAACATTCCTGACACTATCACTGATGAGCAAAGTTCTACGGGTAAGCAAACTACGATCCCATGTACAACCTCTTGCAGCTCTAGTACAAAAAGCCAGAATTGCATTGCATCAACTTCCATTGCATCCTGGGAGAATATTCTACTAGCAACAGTGAAAACCTTCTCCGAAGCTACATCAAAGGAAGAGGAAAAGATAGATGTTGCTGAGGTGATCACAACTAAAACTCTATTTAGAACACCTACAGTTATCAAAAACTAAGACAAAAGCTTCGAAGAATACATTCAAGAAACAATCAAAATTAAGTAGTGACGATGAAAATTCCGAAGAAGTCGTTTATGCGGAGAGTGATGAGTTATATGAAGCTCTAAATGACAATATAGAAGAAGGTGCCGAACCTCAAGTTCAAGAACTCGCTGACGATAATATAATACCTGCAAAATACATCGTGGTACGAATAAACAAACGAGCAGTTACTCATTCGATTGGACTAATATGTCAAATTAATGCAGTGAAAAGAGTCGTGATAATCAAATGTTTGAAACGATGTGTGGGAAATGCCTTAAAATTTCGTGAGGAAAACGAACCTCTCTTGTTCGCTTATGATAAGATATTAGGAATACTGAACGTCCCAAAATCAGAAGATGAAAACGTCGTTACGTTTTGTGAGGATTTAAGGAGATTCAAAAATATTGCCTACTGTTGTTGATTGTTGGTTTTAAATAAAAAATTTCGTTTCTGCATTTTGAATGTTGTTTTTATTTTAAACCACAGTTACACCTTTCATTATAATAACTACAAAGTGAAGTTTAGCAAGCAGACCACAGTCTCCCCTTCAGGGTCCACAGTTACCCTAAATTAACGGGTAACTGTGGACCCTTACATGTGAAAGAAGAATGTCAATACTCTTCTCTCTCAATTCATTTTTCATCTTCTATTGAATAGAACATATTAATATATTACTAATACATATCTACAAACAAAAAGAAAGTGGTTTGAAACCCAACTAACTTCATAAGTAACTTCAAAATAAAACTTTTTATATTCCGTCCACAGATACCCCACTTCACCTTATTAATAAAAATAAATATAGAAAAATTTAATTTTTGATTGACATGTAATAATAACAATAATATCATAGAACACAAATTTTACAATTCTTAAAAGGAGAAAAAAAAAGAAAATAAAATTCCAATTACATGGAATATATATAAAATATTAAGAGAAATAAGTTTTTAATTTTTCCGGTCATAATTTCAGCAGCCAAAATACATTTTTTAATGAACTCTCTATCCGTTAATGGTTTGTTATACTCAGCAATTAATTTCGAAATATGTAAGGACATTCTGACTAATGCTGAACTTTGTTCCTTGCTTTTTTAAAAACGTTTTGTTGTGCTTCTAATGATTTTTGTAAAGAATGAATTTTATTTGGTCTGAATTGAGATTCAAATTTATGATATTCACTTTTGTGTTTCGTTTCGTATCGTAATGGCGACGAAAATTAAATTCTTTGAATACGCTTATGAAATCTTTGCAAATTAGCATAGTGCTTTATTACAATTAATAATAAAGAAACAATCAAAAGTCCACTTTTCATTAAATTTGCTGTTTTCCTCATTAATTTTTCTTTTCTTTGTATTTGATTCATTTTTCCTATGATAAAATATGAATTATTTTACCAATAAATTAAAAATACTATGTATTTCATTATATTCTAGTGAAACGTCATACGGTTGGTAATAAGAACGTGTTTATGTCCAAAATGTACATACGAACATACATTAGAAAACTGGCGAAATTAAAGAATTCTTGCACTTGCTAACGAGCCGTCGTATTCGATGGGGAGTGGGGATTAAATTTGTGCAGTAAAATACGTCTACTACACAAAGTTAAATTTTTTAATAAACTGGGGACTTTCCTTATTTTGGAAATTCGTGAGAGGAATATTAACTTGAGGCGGAAATAAAAACGAAGTCTAAAAAATGCACCACAGCTCATTAGGGAACATAGGGCAAGCTAGATTTCGTTTTCCTGAGATCAGGCAACGGCACTATCGATGACTGGAAAACACATCGTTTTTGAATAAAATACTAGTCAGTCTGAGGTCAGACAATGGACATGCCAATATCTTTCTGCCGAGTTCCATTTAGTGATGTTGGGAAGCAATTTGTTGAAAGCTTTCACGAAGTTTTGATAGACGCAAATTTTTATATCCAGAATATTGAAGAGGATGTTATACTGTTGCTATACTTATTACTAAGTATAGCAACAGGGGTCAAGGAGTAAAATGCGAAAACATGGAGTTAGTTCCAGTTTACTCCACTTAGTCCCTTGTACTCAAATCCGGACATTTCGTCTGATCACAACCTCCTAATTGTGAATGTAAGACTTCGATTAAATACTAAAAAGCCATCTAACCAAAAATACGTAAACACGAGAAAATTAATGAGGGATGAAGAGCTTAAAAGTACATACATAGAGAAAACGTGTGAGAAAATGAAAAGTGGCTACAGCCAATCCTGACGAAACAATCGCAATTAAAATAAGAAGAAATTACAAAAACGAGTGGATGACGTAAGAGATACTGATCTAATGGAGCAATGCAAATAGTACAAAATAGATCAGAACCAACAGACAAACAAGGAAATCCAACGTACGATAAGGCAAGAATTACCAGAACGAACTAGCGAAAGCTGCTACAACTAGACCATCCCTGTTAAGGATAATAGACCGAATATGACAATACAAAGCTTACCTGGAAAATTTATCCGGCCGTCCCATAATTCGTACCGAATTGGAGTACGCTATAAAGGTAGCAAAACTGGGCGAGGCCCTGGACCGGATGGAGTTACTAGGGAAGCCATAAAACTGTTGAAAGATAAAAATATCGACATGTTGGTAACAATTTTTAATGCCATATATAACACTGGCTACATTCCAACGGATTGGCTTTATTCAACCTTTATAATGAATCCTAAATCACAAAAAGCGGCAAAATGCAAAGACCACACAAGAATGTTTTGGGGAGATACAATTTGTGTTCAAGAGCGGACTGGTACACGCGAATTAGCTTTCGGCTTGAATACGATTGTACAAAACTGCATGTGTGACATCATAAAACACGATGTAATGATAAAAATGCTACACAACGCTAACATTAACGAGAAAGATATAAGAGTTTTCCAGAATCTCTACTAGAATCAAAAAGCGCGAATGAGACTGAACAAATCGATGAAATGAGGATTTTAAATTTTAAGGTGGATGCGACAGTGGTATATTTTATCGCTTAAGGTGTTTAACTTCTATGAGGAGAATCTTTTTACAGAGGTACTTGACGGCTCAAGTGTGGTATAAAGGTAAACGGGTGCTCGATAAATAACATTCCTTGCGCCGACGATACATATGGCTTGACGATAAATGCTGGAAAAATTACATTCGTGGAAATAAGGAAAAACGTACTTTTAAGATTACAACTGCAAGTAGATAATGCTCCAATCAAGCAAGTGAAAACATTCAAATACTTGGGAATGATGATGAATGACCAATGGGATCCTTAATAAGAAATAAAATGCCGTACCGAAAAAACAGGACAAGCTTTTATTAAATATAAGCTGCTGCTATATAACAGCAATTTTTCCTTAAATCTTCGTTACAAGATGTTTAAATACTATGTATGGCCCATATTGTTATACGGCATAGAGACATCGATGTTAAAAATAAGCTCCATTAACAAGGACGTTAAAATGTGGATCTTGCGAAGAATGTTCCTTATACCATGAACAGATAGGGTCAGAATGAAAGTAGTCTTACTGAGAGAGAGAGAGAGAGATACTGAGAGAGTTACTCACCTGTAAATTTGGATACCTGGGCCATATCCTGAGAGGAAAAAATACGCAATCCCTCAGAAAGAAAAGATTGAGTATCGAATGTATTGGCTACAGAATATAAAGGATTGGACAGTCATAAATACTACTGGCCAGCTTTTGCATGCTACAAATGACAGACATCTGGCCTTAACATAATTCGCCAACGCACTATAGGTGACACGGCACTATTAAAAGAAAAACTCAAATCCGACTCTCACCTTCAAGCTGGTGGGTCCTGGTAAACAGAGTAACCCAACTGGATGTACGAAACTCAACCTGGAAAGTTGGGCCGGGAACTGACGAGAGAGGGTGAAATGGTTCCCCGAAAAGGTTTGGCGTCAGGCTAACTATCCAACCCTCTAAAAAATTCCATATTATGAAAGCTATAAAGAAAGATGCCGGACTGTTTAACCTACCATAAACTCGCAAACGAAATATGAAGAATAATTTGAAAATTTGCAATTTTAGGTCTTTCAGAGGAACAAACTTAGATAACGATTACTAATTGGTTTCAGCGACCATCAATTTAAATTATGTTGAAGAAGCGCGAAAATTAAATCGCGACAATTCTTAGTGAACTTGACGAAGCTTTGCTTGTTGGAGGCTATTTTACAATTCATAATCTTAAAAATAAATAGTAATAAACGTAGATGAGTGGAAGCATTTATCAAAACAAGGAAGATAACGGCTAATATTAATTTTTATACAACTTGATTTACCTTATTTTTATCTTTGAAGACCTAAATCTAATTTTTCAATTCTCACTGCGCTTTCACGTTCAAATGTAACAGTACTGCCAATTTTTTACGCAATTTAGCTTTTTTTATTGTAATTAACGTGTTATAATTTCTTTAATAAGGGGCTTTTGTGTATTTTGTCACTGTTCTTTGTGTATAAGGGGTGCGCGTTAATAAAATGTATTATAATGGAAATTTATTTATATTTTTAACAAATATTTAGTTTTCCTCATGTGGTAGTCTTAAATTCATACTTAAAATCTCTTTATATTTTAGAAATGCTTGAAATAGAGCGTTACAATACCTTTATTGATTTACTAATAAATTGCTTACTTTCTCTGTCTGATGTTTCAACTTACCATTTCGACAACTTCAACTTCAGCATGTATTCTTAGGTGATAAAGGAATGTTTTTAAATCTTTTTTCATTTGGATAGAATTATCCTCCATTTGCGCTACAGTAAATATTCTCATTTTGCAGTTCTTCCATGTTCTGTGTTGTTTCAACAGGAATGGTAATAACATAAGTAAACCTCCATCATGAACTATCCACCAAACATCAATATTGCCAACAACTTTATCACTAGTATCCGGGAAGAAATTTATACCTTTAGGAACCAATAAAGCCATTCTTGCGGCAGTAACATTCCTGACTGTTTCTAAAAACACTTGCCAAGTGCGATCATCTTCCGATTGTCTCCATCCATAAGGCCATCCCAATATTACTGTATTCGGTTTAAGTCCACCTAATCCTGCCGTTTGAATCCTAAAATTAAATTAAAGTTTTTAATCGGAAAATAGTTCCAATGACACAAATACTAATGGATATAGTACCACAGTTTAAATAAAATTAAACAAGAAAAACTAACAAGCCTAACACTTTTCCGTCCTAGACCATAACGTTTTACTGACGTATGTTAATGTCAAGAAACCATTGGGAATTCCTGATCTAGAGAAATCAAATAGTATAATTGTGTAAATTTTTAGAAAATTTAGAAATAATAACTGCTATATAGTTGTGTAATTGTAATACTCACAAATCGGATAAACCTTCTGTTATGTCCCTTGCTACTAAAATTTCTGCAAATCCTTTAACTCGTTCTTCTTCCATTGTTTTACTAAGACTTTGTTTGGCAGCCATAGCTTCGCCGTATGATCTTGTAAAATCACCGTTAATTACAGATGCACAAATAGTTAACCCTTTTCCTAAAATTAGTTTTGTAATTTTAATACACTTATATATTTAAATATGTACATAAGTAGAGGCAATGGATTTTCTAAAGAGCTACGACGTTGTAAATAGTTGTACATCTAACTGGCAACGATGCTCTAGAGAAGGTAAAGTGAAAACTGAAAAAGTCCGACACATTTATGGTTCAGTATGATACTCCAGGCAAACTGAGTTAAAATAACATCAGAATTTAATTGCAAAATATAATTTAAACAATGATATATTTAATTATAGAAGATTAAAATTGTGATCATACATCAAATATACAATTATAAATTTAATCTATCTAATTAGCCTTCTTCGGTCCTTCTTTGGACATAGGCCTCCTCAATCCTTTTCCATTCTTCTCTGTCTGTCGTTACAGTCATTCACCTAGAGCCCACGTGCTTCTTGATATCATCTGCCCATCTCATTTGGGGCCTTCCTCTGCTTCGTTTATATTTCCACGGTCTCCAACTTATAAGAATTTTGTTCCATCGGTTTCTTTTTGTCTTATATTGTGTCCGGCAAATCTCCATTTCAATTTTGCAACTTCTTGTCTAACATCCCTCACTTTTGTTTTCTCTCTTATCCACTCGTTTCTCTTTTTATCCATTAGTCTTATGTGCAACATTTGTCTTTCCATTGCTCTTTGGGTTTTTATGATTTTGTCCATGTTTGCTTTTGTAAATGTCCACGTTTGGGAACCATAAGTAAGAACAGGGAGTACGCATTGATTGTATACTTTGGTCTTAAGATGCTGTGGATATCTTTTGTTTTTAAGAATGTAGCTTAGTTTGCTAAATGCCGCCCATGCCAGTCTAACTCGTCTCTTTATCTCTGCTGTTTGGTTCTCTTTGTTAAGTTTTATAGTTTGACCGACAATATATATATATATATTATATATATATATATATATTTATATATATATATATATATATATATAATCCTGAACTTGTTCTATTTCATCTTGTCCGATTCTCATTGTGATGTCTTCATCTGTATTTGTTATGGTTTTGGTCTTGCTGTAATTCATATTAAGGCCTATCTTTCCAGCTTCTACGTCCAGTTCTTTCATCATTTCAAATAATTCTTCTTTTTTATCAGTTATCAATACGATATCATCAGCGTACCTTAGATGGTTCAAGCGTTGTCCACAAATTTTTATACCTTTTCTTCCCATTCTAATCTTTTAAAAGTATCTTCAAGAGCCTGATTGAAAAGTTTCGGTGATATTGTATCACCCTGTCTCACGCCTCTATTTATTTGTATTGATTTTGTTCGTTCATATATCAAAGAACTTTTCACTGCCCAATGTTCGACTCTGTCGAAAGCCTTTTCGAAATCTATGAACGCCATATATAGAGGAATGTGGTATTCATTTGCTCGTTCTATAAGTATTTTCATACTTAGTAAATGGTCACTTGTGCTGAATCCCTTTCTAAAACCAGCTTGTTCTTTCGACTGGTATCCATCGAACTTTGTCGTCAATCTATTGGTTAAAATTTTTGTTAGGAGTTTATACATTACATTGAGGAGTGTTATAGGACGGTAGTTTTTTATATCTGCTTTATCCCCTTTCTTGTGTAGGATAATGGTTACTGATTCCTTCCAGTTGTTTGGGATTCTTTTTTCTTTTAATATCTTGTTAAAAAGGGGATGTAGAGTATTAATTACCACTTTTCCACCATATTACAGCATCTCTGCAGTTATTCCATCTTTTCCAGGCGATTTGTTGTTTTTCATTTCTTTCAATGCCTTCTTTATTTCTGATTTGCTTATTTCTGGCTGTAGCTCTGAGTTGACATTTTTTATTTTAATCTTAAGTTGGTTTTTAATTTCTTCTGGTGGTTCCTTTTTTTTTTATATAATTCTGAGTAGAAATGGTGGATTATATTTATGATGTCATCTTTAACGTTTGTTTCTACTCCATTTACATCTTTTATTTTGTTTATTTCAAACTTACCTAATTTCGGCCTGAAGCATTTCAAATTTTTGTTGTTCTGTATTACTTCTTCTATTTTTATTTCTTGTTCTTTTCTCTTATTTTCTTTTATCATTCTGCTTATTGTTTTATTGATTTCTACATATTCTATAGATTTCCTTTTGCCTCCTTCGTTCAGCTTCCTTCTTTTATCCATAAGCTTCTTTGTTTCTGTTGATATATAGTTGTTCTTTTTTAGATCCTTTTTGCTATTTCTTTTCCTGATGTAATCATTGTTGCTGTAAGTATGTTGTCTATTTCGTCTATATCTTTATCATCACTGTCTAATTTTTGGGTAAGTTGTTCTTTTAATAGGTCTTTGTATATCTCTTTATATTGCCCTAGTTTGTTTCTATCTACTAGATCGCAGTTTCTACTTATTTTTCTTTTCATCTCATAGTTACCGCCAATACTAATTTTTGCTCTGACCATCCTGTGATCGCTACCTGTTGTGAATCTGTTAAGAACTGTTACATCTTTAATGATATATCGTTCCGTGGACAGTATGAAGTCGATCTCATTTTTTGTGGATCTCATACTTCTGCTATAAATGTTTATTAAGGGTTATATAAATTTTTATATTTTATATGAATATTTCGTTTTTGGTAAGAAAAACTTTAACATTATCTACTCAATTGGATTGCAATCTAAGTCGTCATCGACTTCATCATCCAAAAATTCACTTTCACTGTCACTTGCATCCCCTTCTAAGTTTATAATTAAGTCCGACAATCTGTCTATAATACGTTCTCTTTCTACATATTCATTTTCCACTTTTGCGACATAAGCGCAAATGTTTTCCAATATTCTAAAGTAACTTCACTAAATTTTGTTTGGTTAATTTCCATACATTATTCAATTTAAAAGTTACGTTGCAGGCAGTAACCCCGTGTTTTACCAATGCCCAAATTTTTTCAATAGAATTTAGCTGCGGATGATAAAGTGGTAGAACCAACGTTAATATATTATGTTCCGCTAGAATTTTATCAATTAAATATGTTTTAGCAGCTCTGATGAATCCCTGAGCGTGAAAAGTGTCCTCCTTGTATAATCCTGTATGAATGAATTTATATGTAATTACGTGGCTAAAGGTTTCAAGCCAAAGCCAAAAAAAAATATGTTTTAAGTGACTTGTGCATTTTTATAATTGTCAATAATTCGGCCTTAGTTGATTTTGCCAGATGAAAAATATTTCTTTCAGCAAACTATTTCAACAGTGCATCTTTTTCCAGGAGCCATTTGGAATGGGTTCTAGGAGTACATTATAATACGAAGCATTGTCTATTAGCAATATGCTGCTTTCGGAACATTAGGAATGAATTTTTCTTTTAACCATTTTATAAAATTGGTGATATTTATTTCATCGTGGTAGTCTCTGCTTTTTGTCTTCGATTTAAAAATGGTAAGTGTCCCAGGCACGAATCCTGCTTAACTCCCAACATGAATAATAATAAGCCTTTGAGCATTAGCTAAAGGTGAATTTATCATTCACTAAATCATGAATACATGTGTCATTACAAAATATAATCGAAAGTACCTGGTCTTTACCTGGATTTTATATCATATTTCTCCATTAAAACTTTTCTGTTATCTACAGTTTTTCTCCATTTTTTTAACTACTTTTCTAAACGAGTATATTTTGTCACTAAAATTTACCTCTTCTTCATTCTTTACTTCTTCAAAAATTTTTTTCATTGTAGGTCGTTTTTTGTGGATTGTAGTGTAAGAATAAATAATTCTTCGAATTATTTTCTCTTTAAACTCGTTATCGTTATTTTTAGAAGTTGAAGGTTTGTTAAGAGTTTTTCGAGGTGATTTAAAGCGTTCACCAGGAGATTTTTTATAAATATGATTTTTGAACAATACGTTACACTGTGTTGACAGAAACATCACAAGCTTTGGCCACTCTTTTCTGCAAATTCCTCATGGGGATAGTTAGGGATTCTTGTGTCTTTTCTTTTTTCATAAACTGATATAACTGTATATAGTTTGTCGGCCTTGGCTATGAATAATTCTGGAACTACTCATGTTTCCATGTCTTTGCTATAACAACACAAATTAAAAATTAGTTAACAAAAGACTTATTCAGTAAAGCTATAACTATTTGGTCAGATTTTATATAAAGTTTTAATTCATAAGATAATAAAAATATAATAAAATAAATACATACCTTACTTTCCAATAATTATTTCACTGAACAAAATATTTTCAAAAATTATTGTTCATAAAAGTCACTAAACTAACAATTAAAGCTAAAAACTATAATAATTAATTAAAAAAAGAAACAAATTTTACTGCACTATTAAAATACTTGGAGTAGAAACAACCTGAACGAAGAACTGCCAAAGAATGAACGGCTGAAACTTTTAGGATGATTAGTACAACTTATTTCAGACGTAAACTTGTGTTCTGCGAGAATATGACTCATACCTCTTTAGAAAATCCATTATCTCTACCTGCAACAGTAAAATTTAATTACAAAAGAATATAATGAGTTAATGCTTACCAGCTTTCAGCTGAGCAGCAAAAGAAAATAGTTTCTTGTACTTTGGTAATAAGTCCGAGGTTAACTTTACTAAAATCAAAATCTGTGGTCTCCAATTCTTTGTATGTGGCGGTCCTTCTTCTAAACGTAACAACGAGAATCTGGCAGCCGAAAGTGCCAATCCTCTAATTCCATCACCCCATTCTTTCTCAGCTCTAAAGACAATATAAATAGTCGAGAAATATATAGATAATTGTTTTGTTAAACTTACCCTCTATATTCGATGTATTTGTAAATTATTCCAGCCATCGCCATTGCCAATAACGCTAAATACCAGGAAGTCATAAACATAACAGCTATACATAAAGAGAGTCCGATAAATGATAAAGACCAATGGTAGTACTTAAATCTTGGTCTCCAGTTTGGCGTTCTTAATAAAGTTTGCAGTGCACAGGCAAGATTTACAAATCCATAGCACATTAAAAAGAACATGGAAAGTAAAGGAGCTAAAATATCGACATTTCCGAGCAGAATGCCTCCTTGGCAAATAATTAAAGTTAAAATTAATGCTCTAGTGGGTTCTCCTTTACTAGATGATACTGCAAAGGGTGCCAAAAATGGAATAATGCCATCTTTAGCAATAGCCTGCAATAAACGAGGAGCACCAGTTAGAGATTGCAGACCAGCTCCTAGCGTAGACAAAATTGAACCGATCAGGATAACCCATTGATTTGGCCAAGCTATGTTCGCTACCACCAGCTTACCACCGATTGATTCTCCAAACCTAAAAAAATAAAAAATCAATAATATACAGATCGTACCGTTACGATAGCCTAGCTACGCCTCTGATAGAAGATACTCGACTATTCTAGTATGCGCGCGTGTCCGACCGTTGGAGATAATTTCAAGGTGCTCTAGCTTCTTCTTCTTCTTCTGGTAGCACTACAACCCGGGGTGGGTCTTGGCTGACTGCACAACCTGCTTCCATCTCGAACATTCGTCCATAATGTTTAAGTCAGTGGGTAGCCCCATTGTTCTCAAATCTGACCATATATTATCTCTCCATCGCATTCGTGGACGTCCTAAGGGCCTTCTCCCTGTCGGGACTTCTTCCCAGATTAACTTGGTAAGGCGGTTATTAGGGAGCCTATGAACATGGCCAGCCCATCTTAGACGTTGGGATTTAATCTCTTGGACTACGTCGCTAGCACTATACATTTGTTTGACCTCGGCATTTGTTCTCATTCGGTATTGGTTAGTATTCGGATCGTGATAGGGACCGAAGATCTTTCTGAGGATTTTTCTCTCAAAGCATCTGAGTTTACTTTCCATTGCTTTTGTCAGCGTCCACGTCTCACACCCATACATGCCGTCTAATTGTTGTTTTATATATCCTGATTTTTTATGTTCGTGTTAGGCTCTTGGATTTAATAGTGTTGTGGAGGCTATACATACATCTGTTTGCTGCCTGAATTCTCCCTTTTATCTCTTCCGTGATATCGTTATCTGTGGTGATAGTCGCTCCGAGATATTTAAAACTCTCCACTCTTTCAAAGTTATAGGGGTCTATTGTTACATTTTGTCCTATTCTATCTCGTCTCTTTTGTCTGTTAATGCACATATATTTGGTTTTCTCTTCATTGACCTTTAGACCGGTATTTTTTGCCTCTCTCTCTAATTTATTGAAGGTTTCTTTTACATTGGTGACCGTATTTCCTACAATGTCAATGTCATCCGCGTATGCTAGTAGTAATTTTGGTCCATTTACTGTCAGTAATTCTGTTCTAATTTGTGCGGTTCTTACTACTTTTTCCAGGATTATATTAAAAAGAAGAGGTGACAGCGCGTCTCCTTGTTTCAGTCCACTGTTTATTTCAAACGACTCTGAGAGCTTGTTACCTATCCGCACTCTAGATCTACAGCCATTTACACAAACTTTAACGAGCTGGATAAGTTTTTTGGAACTGAAAGTTCTGCCATTGCATTCCACATCTGATCCCTTTTAATGCTGTCGTATGCTTGTCGGAAATCTATGACGAGATTATGAATGGTTCTATTGAATTCCCATCCTTTTTCAACAGCTGCCTGAGAGTAAAAATCTGATCTATGGTCGATCTATTTTTTCTCAATCCGGCTTGGTATTCCCCTATGAAATTTTCTACAAAAGGTGTTAGTATACTTAATAGGATGTTCGATAAGATTTTGTACGCCGTATTAAGTAGGGAGATGCCTCTATAGTTAGAGCACTTGGTTTTGTCTCCCTTTTTATGGATAGGAATTATTACACTTTCGTGCCCTAGCGGCAACGATAAAGTTTCGAGGATTTCTGGAAGCGTTTCACAAAATATATATGAAAAAGGATTAAATTGTAGAAGTCAGTCGAAAATACATTTGTACGGTTAATAATATTATGTAATAAATGTTATAAATTAATTTTGTTTTAGTGTTATCAGTGGAAGATTATTAATTAATTAAAATAAGTGTTCAGGGAAGAGGAACTCTAAAGAAATTAAAATAATTATTACAATACAAATCATAGGGTATTTGTAACTCAATACTTTTTTCTTCAAAATTTAGATTATCAAAGGTCTTGGGAACAGATTATTCTCCTTAGATTTATATTTATGAATCTTATGAATTAATATTCTTGAGTATATATTTATAAACATATAAGCAATATAAACAGAGTAAGAAATATGATAAATAGAACCCACAAGTAATCATAAAGGAGTCTATAAGATTTATATGAAAGACAAGTCAATATTTGCAGAAACAAAAAGAGCAAAAAAGGGTCTGATTACAAAAAAATCGCTGACTCAAATAATATTGAAAAATGTGATGTAATGTAATGACTTACATCTAACAAACTTTAAAGGGTGTGACTTCTCTCACACCTCTCATAAAGCAGAATACTGAGATTCCAAATATGTGCGATTAACCTATTTTAATTGGAAATTTTTGAATGGGTTTTAAATGAATGCTTGAACTGTTCCCAAGTCACTCTATATCAAGTTGTTTCTAATGAAACATAATCTAGAAAGAAGAGTCTTCCATTTACATAGAGAAGAAACTTACCTTCGGAAAACACATAGAAGAAACGAATAATGTATGTAATAAATACTTAAATAGTTTATGTATCATACTTACTTATCTCTGAGTAGTAATTATCTACAGTGCCGGCAAATAACAATACACACGACAGATAAACGGTAGATGTGGTCAATATGGCACAAATGGTTCCGATAGGAATAGATTTCTGAGCGTCTGCGAGGTCACCGGATCTGTTAGAACCAGCCATAATTCCAGTAACAGATGGGAAAAATATACCAATTAGTATCGTAAAACTGGTAGTAATGTCAGCAAAGACTTGATTGTAATGATCACTTCCCATTACTTCTAAATCAGCTTGGAGTTTACCTTTGGTAATAAATTGGCCTTGTTCCAAAAACCCGTCATAAATATTATCTAAAAAATGAAAAAGGCAGTAAGAGAATGAATACTATAAAACATCTTTTAATATGAGATGCGTGATCCTTCTTTTTCTAAACGTGAACGAAACATTCTAAAAACTTACCAAGAAGAAGACATTTTAAAATCTTACCAAAGAAAACTCCAGATGATAATCCTTTTATTCCTCTTTCAATACTTGTATTGTGCTTCTTGTAATAGGGATCACATTTATAGTCAGTTTCATTGGTACAGAACATCTTATGTAAAACTCCACTAACATTTTTATGACAATCGGTAAAAGGATCACTAACTTTTAGGAATCTATTGCCCAAACGACACAAGCTAAAAATATAAATATTATAATTAATAATAAATAAAATACAATTTAAAATATTATCAATTAGGTAAAAATAAATATTAGACTTACAATTATGTATAAATTTAGTTTATTTTACTTTGGACTACTGGTTTTGTATACTATACTTTGATATACATCGTCAGGTCTCCGAAAAGGTAACTTAAATGATGCCGAATATTTCCGAAATAAAAGTTTTTTTTTAATTTTTTTATTTTTAATTTTATGAGAAAAAGGTATTCTTTATAAAATGTTTTTATAAACATTACATTACACAATTATATTTCTTATGTTTGCACTCCATAAACGCTTTAGATAGAATGAAACAGTCATATCTGACATTAGATACACCTGGCATGCATCTGGCAGGTACTTTAAAATATGAGTGGGTCAGGGCCGTACTTTAAACATCTGTCAGAGTGCATTTAAACTGAATTTATTAAATTGTGATACATATTAGAAAGATCTTAGATGCCAGTCTTAATAATGATAAAATTTAGAACTTTTTTTATGTGAATTATCTCCAATATGCAGCTTTTGTTTTAGTTTCGTTCTTTTTCCAAAATCTGTACATTTTCAAAATCAAAAGAATGGCTGTTTTCCAGAGAATGCTTGGTTAAGACTGTTGTGTTTGATTTGTTGGTTTGTATACTATATTTGTGTGCAACAACCCCTCTATGCAGATGTTAGTGTGTTTGCCCAATATATATTGAATTGCAGTCTTTACAATTTATAGTATAACATCCGACTGATGATATTCATCAACATTTTTAAAAATATTGAAAAATATTTTTCGGATGTTTTTGACGACTTATATCCAAAGTTAATACCATATTTTGTCAACATAAGTTAATCTTAAACAAAGTTAAAGATATCTTTAAAAAATAATTATCCACCAGAATTTTACAACTATCTAATCAAAAAAAGAAGTTGCATTATCCCAACAACCAGTTGGGGCGACATTACGGCAAAGGTTGAAAAAAGGAAATGGTGTCCGGTCTTTAGGCAGATTTAAAGTAGTTCTAACCAAGATCCAAGTAAACGAAATAGTTCAGCATTGCAAGGAACTCGACAAACGATTTTATGGAATGACGCTGAAGTCATTGTCTTCAAACCGTATTGAGCATGCATTTTCACTTGTAAATCAGTTGGCTGGTCGGGACTTCACTAGATCTTTCATGAAAAGGAACCGACTATCTTTATGAGTTCCACCAAACACAAGTATTGCTAGAACCATGGGCCCCAATAGAGTGCAACAAGCTCAGTATTTTGCAATTTTGGAGAACGCTATAAAAAAATATCAATTACCTCCCAACCATCTATAACATCGATGAAACGGGCATTCAGACAGTCCCAAACCATCTGCTCAAACATGTTGCCCGAGTTGAAAAAAGAGATGTAGCACAAGCCGTAGCTGCCGAGCAAGGACAAACAATTACGGTTGTTTGCTGTATGAGTGCAACTGGTCACCATATCTCTCCATTTTTCATATTTGCTCGAAAACAGATAAATCTTCTTCTTATCAAAGACGGGTCCACTGCCTGTGACATGGCTGTTAGTGATAGTGGTTACTGGAGCATTTTAAAAAACATACACCTCCAACAGAGGAGAACCCCGTTCTTCTAATTCTAGATAATCATGTATCGCACACAAGTCTTCAAGCAGTAACATTTGCAAAAGATAATTTCATCAATTTATTAAGTCTGCCACCACGTAGCAACCATAAGACTCAGCCACTCGATCGGGCATTTTTCAAACCATTAAAATCTTATTATGAGAGCGTCGCTGATAACTGGACCAGTTTCCATCCAGGATAGGTTCTCTCCATTTACCATATGGCTGGTCTCTTTTTCACAGCATTTGCAAAAACTGCTACAGCAGATATAGCAAGAAAGAGCTTTCAGTCTACAGGAATCTACCCACTAGATAAAAATATTTTTACGGACGTAGATTTTATGCCAGAGGAAGTAACAGAGCAAGATTTAAGTGAAGTGATTCAGACGATGAAGGTCATGTTTTTATCCAGTTTCAGCAAGAAGAAGAACTTGTTACTGATGCGATAGAGCCCTAGCCGTCATCATGTTCTCGGACGCGACTAGTTCGCGCTCGAGACGCATCGCCCGCCCCTCATTTTTCCTATTGGTCCCTGACTTGGAAATCCCTATTTATCGCTACTTCTGCGTGTATAAAAATAGGCGATTTTCAGGTCAACCTGGTCAGTCCTTCACGGGCTCTCCGAGAGCTTAGTGCTCTCGGGCTCTGCTTCCTGTTTAGCTTTCCATAGTCTGTGGCTGAGTATTTATTCAACTTTAAACTTGGTGTTTTATTTCGACTATTTAGTTGTGTAAGAAATATCTTGCCTTTTTTAAGGCAAGTTATCGAAGAACCACGAACCTGATGTTTATTTCGACTTGTAAGAAGACTAAGTCATGTAAGAAATAGCCCGTCTTTTTCAAGACGAGCTTATCAGAAGAAATTTTTACAAGTCTACATCCAGTAAATAGACTTGGTAAAGGTGCTTTCGTTGACGTCTCCGAAGCCCCCTACAGAGCACCCGGAGGCAATAGAAGGTGTTTAGACCCTATTTGTTCCCCCGCGGTGATAATCAAAACCGGAAGTCAGAATTTCTGTACCTGGTCCTTCAAATATTGAAAAAGAAACTGTTACAGATACGAAAGAGCCCAGGCGTCATCAAAATCAGAACAATCATCAGAAGAATCAGTAGCACTCTTCTATCAAGAAAGTATTGATTCTCGTGACATTCATTTTTCCGATAACGATGAAGAGCAAGACATTGATGTTGTACCAAATATTTTACCTGACAACTTTATCGCAGTGAATGTTTATGGAAAAAAATTATACAGATTAGTTGTAAATAATCTGTCTGCCAAGTAAATGATAATGGTTATGAAGGCATATTTTTTAATCAACAACATTTCGTTTTAGTGAGATAACGGAAGATGCCTTTTTTTTTCGAAAGGACGATACTGTTTTAAAGCTGCTTTCAAAGCCAATAAAAAACAGCTCTTTCAGATTTTCACATTCAGTAGGATTCTTTGACGACCTCGCCAAAATACATCCTCTTTTACATTAACTGTTTGTATTTTACGTTTAGTTTGTTTTCAACAAAGATAGGTTTCATTTAAAGGGCTACCATCTCTTTTATTTTGGGTTTTATACATTTTATATCAAAATATCACATTTTTTATAGCAAAAATACGCACTACTGCCCCATTTGTAGGGACAAGAGTACTCAAATGAAGATTTTTAAAAACTTTTGTTTTGTGTGTGTGTATCACAATTGAATTGTTTTTTAAATGCACTATGGCAATGTTTAAAAATATTTTGACAGACTGCCCCAATAACTTAGGTATTTTAAATTGAATACCCTGTATATTATTGTATTTTTAGATTCTACGTAAAATTTTGCATTTTTTGATTCTACATAAAATTTTAGATAAAATTTGTATAACGTATTTTATTTAAGGTACGATCTTTATTCTTTTTACGTACGTACGAATTTTTTTTAGTTATTCAACTTTTTCAAAAATTTTTGAATTCGTGTTTTTAAATGCAGGATGTTCACAACTGACACACCATTTGTTTAAACTTCAAACCGCAGTACGTCAATAATTTTAACAATCTAGTGTTAGGGTGAAGCGTCAAAAGTTGGTTATATATTCCCAGAATTTCGGAGGATAGCTCATCGTCTTGCCTAAGAATTACGTATTCAAATCTATTAAATATTTATAACAAATGGCAGATGTTTCCTATAAATAAGACCATAAACTTTTTTATTATATATAGTTTAGGGTTTTTTACGTGCTCAGTTGTTGATACTGAAAATCGATGCGGGTTATCCAGAGATCCGAGTTAGAAGTTTAGAGAAATAGGGCATTTGACAAATCCTTACATTCGGGATTTGGTATAATCTATGAGATCTAAAGGAGCGTATCGAGAAGGCGTCACCTAACGTAGCTTTTATGTCTATTTAACGCCTTTTAACCTTCGGAGTACGAAGACTGGGTAAAGCGTGACCCGAAATTCACTGATTTGTTAATATTTCATGAAATAATTTTTTTACACATCCGATTAATCGTAAGTTCTCCTTATTTCTCTCAATCTATTTTTTCGTGTATCATTCGTGAACAAGAAAATTACAGTTTTTCCTCTACGTAACTACTATGACGCAGGGTCAGTCCTGACTTTCCTGACTTTTCCTCGGAATTTCCAAGAATATTTTCAATATGTTTATAGGTACACGTAAAACGCAGCGGTCTCTATTTACTAGATAGAAGTTAACCTTGGGACTAAATGTAGTGTCTAATAGGCATATTCTATGAGAACATCCGAGACGAGAGGTCTAACTTTGGTGTAAAGCAGTATTTCACCGTTTGTTTATAAACTTAATTCAAGCATCGATCTTGAAGTGTGCAGTATTATATCAAAATGTGGAAAAAGAATAAACCTTTGAGTGAAGCTAAGTTGTATGCCTTACTCCTACCAGATAGTGAGATAGTGAAAAAGATGACGTTGCAGTTGTTACTGAACTCAAGAAGGAGGAAGTTTTAGCGACAACTTCTGAAAATACAAATAGTAAATGATCTAACGGGTCTGATATTATGTGCGAATGACGAACATGGCGTTATTTAGGCCCAAAAAAGGGAAAGACATTGGCATATAATTTCTTACAGAAAAACATAGTAGGTCTCACTACGAAAAGTCAAAACATTGAGACATACATGGATGCCTTCAATTTTTTTTGCTAGTATAATGTCAATGATTCTCGAGTAGGGTAAACTGGTCCATAGTGGGACGCGGTCCATAGTGGAAATTTCACTCTCCTGGCTATTTTATCATCGCAGTAGAGCTATATTTCAGTGTGTGTGCTATCATTAAAGTGCCGCCTCCGAATCTTGTCTTAGTTTTTCAATTAATACTATGCGTTTCGATATTTTGGAAACTCAGGTGAGTGATCAGCCGAAAA